CTCATGGTTTTTCTCGAGTTGTGGCTGGGACCTGGGGTATGTTCTCGAGTTACGGCGGGGATGGCCCTTCAAAACACGTGTGTATTCAGTGACGTCAGGACTCCTGTCCAGTAACGAGGGACAGCTCAGAAATCTCTTCGAGGCTTGGCAGGGCACAAGGGACGCTTCTCGAGGTGAGGCAGGGCACCCAACGACCCTTTCCAATAGCCACAGGGATTTTGGCATACCTGTCAATATTCAAGAGTACTCAGGCATCGTCACCTTTTGATGCAGTGAACTCCACATGCCTCTCGAGGTGTCAACGGGATGTGAGGCATTCCGTCAAAATGAGGCAGGGATCTAGGGCTTTCTCTAAGGTATTCACAGGGTACTCAGACATCCCTTCATGTTGTGAGATGAAAGACGAGCGTGTATTCAAGCCACTGCAAGGAAATCCGACCTCCTTTCAAGTTAGGGCTTCTCGCTGTATATTCCCCTTGAGGCAGCAAACTCGGGGTCTCTCCCACATACCTATTGCTGAGAGAAGCCTCCCCTTGAGGTGCTTCTGGAAAGTTGGCATATGTCTTGAGCATAACCCAGGGAATCAGCTCCCATCTCCAGACGATTTGGGGTCCACGAAGGATTCCTCGAGTTGCTGTGCTGATCTTGGTGTTCCTCTAGACTTGGGACAGTGTTCTCGGGGCATCTCTGGAGTTGCCTGAAGAAAGTCAAGCCACTGGAGGTGTTTAATGGGGAATGGGGGATGGCTCTGGAGTCAAAGCCGGCGAATCCGGCCTCATCTCGAGTTGATTTGGGGCACATGGAGCTGCCTTGCGGTGCTGGGGTTACCTCAAGGTCCGTGTAGACTTGTAACAGTATTCTTGGTGACAATCTCCAGATCCATTAAGCAAGTCGAAGCTCCTGACTTGTTTGAAGGGGATCACGGGATTGCTCTTCATGCACTGCAGGGGAATCGGGCCTCATCTCGCATCTAGGGGGAAGTGTCATGGTTTTTCTCGAGTTGCGGTGGGGACCTGGGGTATGTTCTCGAGTTAAGGCGGCGATGGCCCTTCAAAACACGTGTTTATTCAGTGACGTCAGGACTCCTGTCTAGTAACGAGGGACACCTCAGGAATCTCTTCGAGGCTTGGCAGGGCAAAACTGATTCCTCTTGAGGTGAGGCAGGGCAACCAAGGACTCTTTCCAGTAGCCACAGTGATTTTTTGATTCCTATCAATGTTCAAGAGGAGTCAGGCATCGTCACATTTTGAAGCAGTGAACTCCGCGTGCCTCTCGAGTTGTCAACCGGATGTGAGGCATTCCGTCAAATTGAGGCAGGGACCTAGGGCTTTCTCCAAGGTCTCCACAGGGGATTCAGACATCCCTTCCTGTTGTGAGATGAAAGACGAGCCTGTATTCAAGCCACTGCAAGGAAATCCGGCCTCCTTTCAAGTTAGGGTTTCTCGCTCTAGATTCCACTTGAGGCAGCAACTTCGGAGTCCCTCTCACATACCTATCGCTGAAAGAATCCTCCTCTTTAGGTGCTTCTGGAAAGTTGGCATACGTCTTGAGCCTAAGCCAGGAAATCAGCTCTCATCTCGAGAAGATTTGGGGTACACAGAGCATTCCTCGAGTTGCTGTGCTGAAGTTGGTGTTCTTCTAGACTTCGGAGAGTGTTCTCGGGGCATCGCTGGAGTTGCATGAAGGAAGTCAAGCCACTGGTCTTGTTTAATGGGGAACGGGGAATGGCTCTGGAGTCAATGCAGGGGAATCGGGCCTCATCTGGAGTTGATTTGGGGCACATGGAGCTGCTATGCATTGCTGGGGTGACATCGCGGTCCGTCTAGACTTGTGAAAGTGTTCTTGGGGACTGTCTTGAGATCCATTAAGCAAGTCGAAACTCCTGACTTGTTTGATGGGTATCATGGAATAGCTCTGCATGCACTGCAGGGGAATCGGGCTTCATCTCGCATCTATGGGGAAGTCTCATGGTGTTTCTCGAGTTGTGGCGGGGACCTGGGTTATGTTCTCGAGTTACGGCGGGGATGGCCCTTCAAAACACTTGTTTATTCAGTGACTCAGGATTCCTGTCTAGTAACGAGGGACACCTCAGGAATCTCTTCGAGGCTTGGCAGGGCACAAGGGACGCTTCTCGAGGTGAAGCACGGCACCCAAGGACACATTCCAGTAGCCACAGGGATTTGGGGATTCCTATCAATATTCAAGTGGAGTCAGGCATCGTCACCGTTTCAAGCAGTGAACTCCGCGTGCCTCTCGAGGTGTCAACGGGATGTGAGGCATTCCGTCAAAATGAGGCAAGGACCTATGGTATTCTCTAAGGTATCCACAGGGGATTTGGACATCCCTTCATGTTGTGAGATGAAAGACGAGCCTGTATTCAAGCCACTGCAAGGAAATCCGGCCTCCTTTCAAGTTAGGGCTTCTCGCTGTATATTCCACTTGAGGCAGCAAACTCAGGGTCGCTCCCACATACTTATTGCTGAGAGAAGCCTCCTCTTGAGGTGCTTCTGGGAACTTGTCATACGTCTTGAGCCTAAGCCAGGGAATCAGCTCCCATCTCCAGACGATTTGGGGTACACGGAGCTTTCCTCGAGTTGCTATGCTCATGTTGGTGTTCCTCTAGACTTGGGACAGTGTTCTCGGGGCATCTCTGGAGTTTCCTGAAGAAAGTCAAGCCACTGGTGGTGTTTAATGGGGAACGGGGAATGGCTCTGGAGTCAATGCAGGGGAATCGGGCATCATCTCGAGTTGACTTGGAGCACATGGAGCTGTTTCCGTTGCTGGGGTGACCTCAGGGTCCATCTAGACATGTGACAGGGTTCTTGGAGACTGTCTCGAGATCCCTTAAGCAAGTCGAATCTCCTGATTGGTTGATGGGGCTCTCGGAATGGCTCTGCATACACTGCAGGGGAATCGGGCCTCATCTTGCATCTAGGATGAAGTCTCATGGTTTTTCTCGAGTTGTGGCGGGGACCTGGGGTATGTTCTCGAGTTACGGCGGGGATGGCCCTTCAAAATACGTTTTTATTCAGTGACGTAAGGACTCCTGTCTAGTAACGAGGTAAACTTCAGGAATCTCTTCGAGGCTTGGCAGGGCACAGGGGACGCTTCTAGAAGTGAGTCAGGGCAAACAAGCATGCTTTCCAGTTGCCACAGGGATTTTGGGATTCCTATCAATTTTCAACAGGAGTCAGGCATCTTCCCCTTTTGAAGCAGTGAACTCTGCGTGCCTCTCGAGGTGTCAACGGGATGTGAGGCATTCCGTCAAAATGAGGCAGGGACCTATGGCATTCTCTAAGGTATCCACAGGGGATTTGGACATCCCTTCATGCTGTGAGATGAAAGCCTAGCTTGTATTCAAGCCACTGCAAGGAAATCCGGCCTCCTTTCAAGTTAGGGCTTCTCGCTGTATATTCCACTTGAGGAGGCAAATCGGGGTCCCTCCCACATACCTGTTGCTGAGAGAAGCCTCCTCTTGAGGTGCTTCTGGAAAGTTGGCATACGTCTTGAGCCTAAGCCAGGGAATCAGCTCTCATCTCCAGATGATTTGGGGTACACGGAGCATTCCTCGAGTGGCTGTGCTGCAGTTGTTGTTCCTCTAGAATTGGGACAGTGTTCTGAGTGCATCTCTGCAGTTGCCTGAAGGAAGTCAAGCCACTGGTCGTGTTTAATCGGGAACGGGGGACGGCTCTGGAGTCAATGCAGGGGAAACGGACCTCATCTCGAGTTGATGTGGGGTACATGGAGCTCCTTTGCGTTGCTGGGATGACCTCAGGTTCCGTCTAGACATGTGACAGTGTTCTTGGGGACTGTCTCGAGATTCATCAAGCAAGTCGAAGCTCCTGACTTGTTTGATGGGGATCACGGAATTGCTCTGCATGCACTGCAGGGGAATCGGGCCTCATCTCGCATCTACGGGGAAGTCTCATGGTTTCTCTCGAGGCGCGGCGTGGACCTGGGGTATGTTCTCGAGTTACGGCGGGGATGGCCCTTCAAAACACGTGTTTATTTGGTGACGTCAGGACTCCTCTCTAGTAACGAGGGATACCTCAGGAATCTCGTCGAGGCTTGGCAAGGCACAAGGGACGCTTCTCGAGGTGAGGCAGGGCACCCAAGGACCCTTTCCAGTAGCCACAGGGATTTTGGGATTCCTATCAGTATTGAAGAGGAGTCAGGCATCGTCACCCTTTGAAGCAGTGAACTCCGCGTGCTTCTCGAGGTGTCAACGTGATGTGAGGCATTCCGTCAAAATGAGGCAGGGACCTAGGGCTTTCTCTAAGGTCTCCACAGGGGATTCAGACATTCCTTCCTGTTGTGAGATGAAAGACGAGCCTGTATTCAAGCCACTGCAAGGAAATCCGGGCTCCTTTCAAGTTAGGGCTTCTTGCTGTATATTCCACTTGATGCAGCAAACTCGGGTTCCCTCCCACATACCTATTGCTGAGAGAAGCCTCCTCTTGAGGTGCTTCTGTAAAGTTGGCATACGTCTTGAGCATAAGCCAGGGAATCAGCTCTCATCTCGAGGAGATTTGGGGTACACAGAGCATTCCTCGAGTTGCTGTGCTGAAGTTGGTGTTCTTCTAGACTTGGGACAGTGTTCTCGGAGCATCTCTGGAGTTGCCTGAAGGGAGTCAAGCCACTGGTCGTGTTTAATGGGGAACGTGGGATAGCTCTGGGGTCAATGCGGGGCAATCGGGCATCATCTCGAGTTTACTTGGGGCACATGGAGCAGCTTTTCGTTGCTGGGGTGACCTCAGAGTCCGTCTAGACATGTGACAGTGTTCTTGGGGACTGTCTCGAGATCCATCAAGCAAGTCGATGCTCCTGTCTTGTTTGATGGGGATCACGGAATTGCTCTGCATGCACTGCAGGAGAATCGGGCCTCATATCGCATCTAGGGGGAAGTCTCATGGTTTTTCTCGAGTTGTGGCTGGGACCTGGGGTATGTTCTCGAGTTACGGCGGGGATGGCCCTTCAAAACACGTGTGTATTCAGTGACGTCAGGACTCCTGTCCAGTAACGAGGGACAGCTCAGAAATCTCTTCGAGGCTTGGCAGGGCACAAGGGACGCTTCTCGAGGTGAGGCAGGGCACCCAACGACCCTTTCCAATAGCCACAGGGATTTTGGCATACCTGTCAATATTCAAGAGTACTCAGGCATCGTCACCTTTTGATGCAGTGAACTCCACATGCCTCTCGAGGTGTCAACGGGATGTGAGGCATTCCGTCAAAATGAGGCAGGGATCTAGGGCTTTCTCTAAGGTATTCACAGGGTACTCAGACATCCCTTCATGTTGTGAGATGAAAGACGAGCGTGTATTCAAGCCACTGCAAGGAAATCCGACCTCCTTTCAAGTTAGGGCTTCTCGCTGTATATTCCCCTTGAGGCAGCAAACTCGGGGTCTCTCCCACATACCTATTGCTGAGAGAAGCCTCCCCTTGAGGTGCTTCTGGAAAGTTGGCATATGTCTTGAGCATAACCCAGGGAATCAGCTCCCATCTCCAGACGATTTGGGGTCCACGAAGGATTCCTCGAGTTGCTGTGCTGATCTTGGTGTTCCTCTAGACTTGGGACAGTGTTCTCGGGGCATCTCTGGAGTTGCCTGAAGAAAGTCAAGCCACTGGAGGTGTTTAATGGGGAATGGGGGATGGCTCTGGAGTCAAAGCCGGCGAATCCGGCCTCATCTCGAGTTGATTTGGGGCACATGGAGCTGCCTTGCGGTGCTGGGGTTACCTCAAGGTCCGTGTAGACTTGTAACAGTATTCTTGGTGACAATCTCCAGATCCATTAAGCAAGTCGAAGCTCCTGACTTGTTTGAAGGGGATCACGGGATTGCTCTTCATGCACTGCAGGGGAATCGGGCCTCATCTCGCATCTAGGGGGAAGTGTCATGGTTTTTCTCGAGTTGCGGTGGGGACCTGGGGTATGTTCTCGAGTTAAGGCGGCGATGGCCCTTCAAAACACGTGTTTATTCAGTGACGTCAGGACTCCTGTCTAGTAACGAGGGACACCTCAGGAATCTCTTCGAGGCTTGGCAGGGCAAAACTGATTCCTCTTGAGGTGAGGCAGGGCAACCAAGGACACTTTCCAGTAGCCACAGTGATTTTTTGATTCCTATCAATGTTCAAGAGGAGTCAGGCATCGTCACATTTTGAAGCAGTGAACTCCGCGTGCCTCTCGAGTTGTCAACCGGATGTGAGGCATTCCGTCAAATTGAGGCAGGGACCTAGGGCTTTCTCTAAGGTCTCCACAGGGGATTCAGACATCCCTTCCTGTTGTGAGATGAAAGACGAGCCTGTATTCAAGCCACTGCAAGGAAATCCGGCCTCCTTTCAAGTTAGGGTTTCTCGCTCTAGATTCCACTTGAGGCAGCAACTTCGGAGTCCCTCTCACATACCTATCGCTGAAAGAATCCTCCTCTTTAGGTGCTTCTGGAAAGTTGGCATACGTCTTGAGCCTAAGCCAGGAAATCAGCTCTCATCTCGAGAAGATTTGGGGTACACAGAGCATTCCTCGAGTTGCTGTGCTGAAGTTGGTGTTCTTCTAGACTTCGGAGAGTGTTCTCGGGGCATCGCTGGAGTTGCATGAAGGAAGTCAAGCCACTGGTCTTGTTTAATGGGGAACGGGGAATGGCTCTGGAGTCAATGCAGGGGAATCGGGCCTCATCTGGAGTTGATTTGGGGCACATGGAGCTGCTATGCATTGCTGGGGTGACCTCGCGGTCCGTCTAGACTTGTGAAAGTGTTCTTGGGGACTGTCTTGAGATCCATTAAGCAAGTCGAAACTCCTGACTTGTTTGATGGGTATCATGGAATAGCTCTGCATGCACTGCAGGGGAATCGGGCTTCATCTCGCATCTATGGGGAAGTCTCATGGTGTTTCTCGAGTTGTGGCGGGGACCTGGGTTATGTTCTCGAGTTACGGCGGGGATGGCCCTTCAAAACACTTGTTTATTCAGTGACTCAGGATTCCTGTCTAGTAATGAGGGACACCTCAGGAATCTCTTCGAGGCTTGGCAGGGCACAAGGGACGCTTCTCGAGGTGAAGCACGGCACCCAAGGACACATTCCAGTAGCCACAGGGATTTGGGGATTCCTATCAATATTCAAGTGGAGTCAGGCATCGTCACCGTTTCAAGCAGTGAACTCCGCGTGCCTCTCGAGGTGTCAACGGGATGTGAGGCATTCCGTCAAAATGAGGCAAGGACCTATGGTATTCTCTAAGGTATCCACAGGGGATTTGGACATCCCTTCATGTTGTGAGATGAAAGACGAGCCTGTATTCAAGACACTGCAAGGAAATCCGGCCTCCTTTCAAGTTAGGGCTTCTCGATGTATATTCCACTTGAGGCAGCAAACTCAGGGTCGCTCCCACATACCTATTGCTGAGAGAAGCCTCCTCTTGAGGTGCTTCTGGGAACTTGTCATACGTCTTGAGCCTAAGCCAGGGAATCAGCTCCCATCTCCAGACGATTTGGGGTACACGGAGCTTTCCTCGAGTTGCTATGCTCATGTTGGTGTTCCTCTAGACTTGGGACAGTGTTCTCGGGAGTTTCCTGAAGAAAGTCAAGCCACTGGTGGTGTTTAATGGGGAACGGGGGATGGCTCTGGAGTCAATGCAGGAGAATCGGGCATCATCTCGAGTTGACTTGGGGCACATGGAGCTGTTTCCGTTGCTGGGGTGACCTCAGGGTCCATCTAGACATGTGACAGGGTTCTTGGAGACTGTCTCGAGATCCCTTAAGCAAGTCGAATCTCCTGATTGGTTGATGGGGCTCTCGGAATGGCTCTGCATACACTGCAGGGGAATCGGGCCTCATCTCGCATCTAGGATGAAGTCTCATGGTTTTTCTCGAGTTGTGGCGGGGACCTGGGGTATGTTCTCGAGTTACGGCGGGGATGGCCCTTCAAAATACGTTTTTATTCAGTGACGTAAGGACTCCTGTCTAGTAACGAGGTAAACTTCAGGAATCTCTTCGAGGCTTGGCAGGGCACAGGGGACGCTTCTCGAAGTGAGTCAGGGCAAACAAGCATGCTTTCCAGTAGCCACAGGGATTTTGGGATTCCTATCAATTTTCAACAGGAGTCAGGTATCTTCCCCTTTTGAAGCAGTGAACTCTGCGTGCCTCTCGAGGTGTCAACGGGATGTGAGGCATTCCGTCAAAATGGTGCAGGGACCTATGGCTTTCTTTAAGGTCTCCACAGGGGATTTGGACATCCCTTCGTGTTGTGAGATGAAAGACGAGCCTGTATTCAAGCCACTGCAAGGAAATACGGCCTCCTTTCAAGTTAGGGTTTCTCACTGTGTATTCCACTTGAGGAAGCAAACTCGGGGTCCCACCAACATACCTATTGCTGAGAGGAGCCTCCTCTTGAGGTGCTTCTGGAAAGTTGGCATGCGTCTTGAGCCTGAGCCAGAGAATTATCTCTCATCTCGAGAAGATTTGAGGTACACGGAGCATTCCTCGAGTTGCTGTGCTGAAGTTGGTGTTCCTCTAGACTTGGGACAGTGTTCTCAGGGCACCTCTGGAGTTGCATGAAGAAGTCAAGCCACTGGTCGTGTTTAATGGGGAACGGGGAATGGCTCTGGAGTCAATGCAGGGGAATCGGGCCTCATCTGGAGTTGATTTGGGGCACATGGAGCTGCTATGCATTGCTGGGGTGATCTCGGGGTCCGTCTAGAATTGTGACAGATTTTTTGGGGACTGTCTTGAGATCCATTAAGCAAGTCGAAGCTCCTGACTTGTTTGATGGAGATCACGGAATAGCTCTGCATGCACTGCAGGGGAATCGGGCTTCAACTCGCATCTATAGGGAAGTCTCATGGTTTTTCTCGAGTTGTGGCGGGGACCTGGGTTCTGTTCTCGAGTTACGGCGGGGATGGCCCTTCAAAACTCGTGTTTATTCAGTGACGTCAGGACTCCTGTCTAGTAACGAGGGACACCTCAGGAATCTCTTCGAGGCTTGGCAGGGCACAAGAGACGCTTCTCGAGGTGAGGCAGGGCACCCAAGGACACACTCAAGTTGCCACAGGGATTTTGGGATTCCTATCAATGTTCAAGTGGAGTCAGGCATCGTCACCTTTTGAAGCAGTGAACTCCGCGGGCCTCTCGAGGTGTCAACGGGATGTGAGGCATTCCGTCAAAATGAGGCAGGTACCTATGGCATTCTCTAAGGTATCCACAGGGGATTACGACATCCCTTCATGCTGTGAGATGAAAGCCGAGCCTGTATTCAAGCCACTGCAAGGAAATCTGGCCTCCTTTCAAGTTAGGGCTTCTCGCTGTATATTCCACTTGAGGAGGCAAATCGGGTTCCCTCCCACATACCTGTTGCTGAGAGAAGCCTCCTCTTGAGGTGCTTCTGGAAAGTTGTCATACGTCTTGAGCCTAAGCCAGGGAATCAGCTCTCATCTCCAGATGATTTGGGGTACACAGAGCATTCCTCGAGGGGCTGTGCTGCAGTTCTTGTTCCTCTAGAACAGGGACAGTGTTCTGAGTGCATCTCTGAAGTTGCCTGAAGGAAGTCAAGCCACTGGTCGTGTTTAATCGGGAACGGGGGACGGCTCTGGAGTCAATGCAGGGGAAACGGACCTCATCTCGAGTTGATGTGGGGCACATGGAGCTGCTTTGCGTTGCTGGGATGACCTCAGGTTCTGTCTAGACATGTGACAGGGTCCTTGGGGACTGTCTCGAGATTCATCAAGCAAGTTGAAGCTCCTGACTTGTTTGATGGGGATCACGGAATTGCTCTGCATTCACTGCAGGGGAATCGGGCCTCATCTCGAATCTACGGGGAAGTCTCATGGTTTCTCTCGAGGCGCGGCGGGGACCTGGGGTATGTTCTCGAGTTACGGCGGGGATGGCCCTTCAAAAACGTGTTTATTTGGTGACGTCAGGACTCCTCTCTAGTAATGAGGGACACCTCAGGAATCTCGTCGAGGCTTGGCAAGGCACCAGGGACGCTTCTCGAGGTGAGGCAGGGCACCCAAGGACCCTTTCCAGTAGCCACAGGGATTTTGGGATTCCTATCAGTATTGAAGAGGAGTCAGCCATCGTCACCTTTTGAAGCAGTGAACTCTGCGTGCTTCTCGAGGTGTCAACGTGATGTGAGGCATTCCGTCAAAATGAAGCAGGGACCAAGGGCTTTCTCTAAGGTCTCCACAGGGGATTCAGACATCCCTTCCTGTTGTGAGATGAAAGACGAGCCTGTATTCAAGCCACTGCAAGGAAATCCGGGCTCCTTTCAATTTAGGGCTTCTTGCTGTATATTCCACTTGATGCAGCAAACTCGGGTTCCCTCCCACATACCTATTGCTGAGAGAAGCCTCCTCTTGAGGTTCTTCTGGAAAGTTGGCATACGTCTTGAGCATAAGCCAGGGAATCAGCTCTCATCTCGAGGAGATTTGGGGTACACAGAGCATTCCTCGAGTTGCTGTGCTGAAGTTGGTGTTCTTCTAGACTTGGGACAGTGTTCTCGGAGCATCTCTGGAGTTGCCTGAAGGGAGTCAAGCCACTGGTCGTGTTTAATGGGGAACGTGGGATAGCTCTGGGGTCAATGCGGGGCAATCGGGCATCAGCTCGAGTTTATTTGGGGCACATGGAGCAGCTTTGCGTTGCTGGGGTGACCTCAGAGTCCGTCTAGACTTGTGACAGTGTTCTTGGGGACTGTCATGAGATCCATCAAGCAAGTCGATGCTCCTGACTTGTTTGATGGGGATCACGGAATTGCTCTGCATGCACTGCAGGAGAATCGGGCCTCATATCGCATCTAGGGGGAAGTCTCAGGTTTTTTTCTCGAGTTGTGGCTTGGACCTGGGGTATGTTCTCGAGTTACGGCGGGGATGGCCCTTCAAAACACGTGTTTATTCAGTGACGTCAGGACTCCTGTCCAGTAACGAGGGACAGCTCAGTAATCTCTTCGAGGCTTGGCAGGGCACAAGGGACGCTTCTCGAGGTGAGGCAGGGCACCCAACGACCCTTTCCAATAGCCACAGGGATTTTGGCATACCTGTCAATATTCAAGAGGACTCAGGCATCGTCACCTTTTGATGCAGTGAACTCCACATGCCTCTCGAGGTGTCAACGGGATGTGAGGCATTCCGTCAAAATGAGGCAGGGACCTACGGCTTTCTCTAAGGTATTCACAGGGGACTCAGACATCCCTTCATGTTGTGAGATGAAAGACGAGCCTGTATTCAAGCCACTGCAAGGAAATCCGGCCTCCTTTCAAGTTAGGGCTTCTCGCTGTATATTCCCCTTGAGGCAGCAAACTCGGGGTCCCTCCCACATACCTATTGCTGAGAGAAGCCTCCCGTTGAGGTGCTTCTGGAAAGTTGGCATATGTCTTGAGCATAACCCAGGGAATCAGCTCCCATCTCCAGACGATTTGGGGTCCACGAAGCATTCCTCGAGTTGCTGTGCTGATGTTGGTGTTCCTCTCGACTTGGGACAGTGTTCTCGGGGCATCTCTGGAGTTGCCTGAAGAAAGTCAAGCCACTGGAGGTGTTTAATGGGGAATGGGGGATGGCTCTGGAGTCAAAGCCGGCAAATCCGGCCTCATCTCGAATTGATTTGGGGCACATGGAGCTGCATTGCGGTGCTGGGGTTACCTCAAGGTCCGTGTAGACTTGTAACAGTATTCTTGGTGACTCTCTCCAGATCCATTAAGCAAGTCGAAGCTCCTGACTTGTTTGAAGGGGATCACGGGATTGCTCTGCATGCACTGCAGGGGAATCGGGCCTCATCTCGCATCTAGGGGGAAGTGTCATGGTTTTTCTCGAGTTGTGGTGGGGACCTGGGTTATGTTCTCGAGTTAAGGCGGCGATGGCCCTTCAAAACACGTGTTTATTCAGTGACGTCAGGACTCCTGTCTAGTAACGAGGGACACCTCAGGAATCTCTTCGAGGCTTGGCAGGGCAAAAGGGATTCCTCTCGAGGTGAGGCAGGGCAACCAAGGACACTTTCCAGTAGCCACAGTGATTTTTTGATTCCTATCAAAGTTCAAGAGGAGTCAGGCATCGTCACATTTTGAAGCAGTGAACTTCGCGTGCCTCTCGAGGTGTCAACGGGATGTGAGGCATTGCGTCAAATTGAGGCAGGGACCTAGGGCTTTCTCTAAGGTCTCCACAGGGGATTCAGACATCCCTTCCTGTTGTGAGATGAAAGACGAGCCTGTATTCAAGCCACTGCAAGGAAATCCGGCCTAGTTTCAAGTTAGGGTTTCTCGCTATAGATTCCACTTGAGGCAGCAACTTCGGAGTCCCTCTCACATACCTATTGCTGAAAGAATCCTCCTCTTTAGGTGCTTCTGGAAACTTGGCATACGTCTTGAGCCTAAGCCAGAAAATCAGCTCTCATTTCGAGAAGATTTGGGGTACACAGAGCATTCCTCGAGTTGCTGTGCTGAAGTTGGTGTTCTTCTAGACTTCGGAGAGTGTTCTCGGGGCATCGCTGGAGTTGCATGAAGGAAGTCAAGCCACTGGTCTTGTTTAATGGGGAACGGGGAATGGCTCTGGAGTCAATGCAGGGGAATCGGGCCTCATCTGGAGTTGATTTGGGGCACATGGAGCTGCTATGCATTGCTGGGGTGACCTCGCGGTCCGTCTAGACTTGTGAAAGTGTTCTTGGGGACTGTCTTGAGATCCATTAAGCAAGTCGAAACTCCTGACTTGTTTGATGGGTATCATGGAATAGCTCTGCATGCACTGCAGGGGAATCGGGCTTCATCTCGCATCTATGGGGAAGTCTCATGGTGTTTCTCGTGTTGTGGCGGGGACCTGGGGTATGTACTCGGGTTACGGCGGGGATGGCCCTTCAAAACTCGTGTTTATTCAGTGACGTCAGGACTCCTGTCCAGTAACGAGGGACAGTTCAGGAATCTCTTCGGGGCTTGGCAGGGCACAAGGGATGCTTCTCGATGTGAGGCAGGGCACCCAAGGACACATTCCAGTAGCCACAGGGATTTGGGAATTCCTATCAATATTCAAGTGGAGTCAGGCATCGTCACCGTTTGAAGCAGTGAACTCCGCGTGCCTCTCGAGGTGTCAACGGGATGTGAGGCATTCCGTCAAAATGAGGCAAGGACCTATGGTATTCTCTAAGGTATCCACAGGGGATTTGGACATCCCTTCATGTTGTGAGATGAAAGACGAGCCTGTATTCAAGCCACTGCAAGGAAATCCGGCCTCCTTTCAAGTTAGGGCTTCTCGCTGTATATTCCACTTGAGGCAGCAAACTCAGGGTCGCTCCCACATACCTTTTGCTGAGAGAAGCCTCCTCTTGAGGTGCTTCTGGAAACTTGTCATACGTCTTGAGCCTAAGCCAGGTATCCAGCTCTCATCTAGAGACGATTTGTGGTACACGGAGGATTACTCGAATTGCTGTGCTGAAGTTGGTGTTCCTCTAGTCTTGGGACAGTGTTCTCAGGGGATCTCTGGAGTTGCCTGAAGGAAGTCTAGCCAGTTGTCTTGTTTAATGGGGAACTGCGGATGGCTCTGAAGTCAATGCAGGGGAATCGGGCCACGTCTCGGGTTCATTTGGGGCACATGGAGCTGCTTTGCGTTGCTGGGGTGACCTCAGGGTCCGTCTAGACTTGTGACAGTGTTCTTGGTGACTGTCTCGAGATCCATTAAGCAAGTCGAAGCTCCTGACTTGTTTGATGGGGATCACGGGAATACTCTGCATGCACTGCAGGGAATCAGGACTCATCTCGCATCTAGGGGGAAGTCTCACGGTTTCTGTCAAGTTGCACGGGGGACCTGGGGTATCTTCTCGAGTTACGGCGGGGATGGCCCCTCAAAACCCGTGTTTATTCAGTGCCATCAGGACTCCTGTCTAGTAACGAGGGACACCTCAGGAATCTCTTCGAGGCTTGGCAGGTCAAAAGGTATGCTTCTCGAGGTGAGGCAGGGCACCCAAGGACCATTTCAAGTAGCCACATTGATTTTGGGATTCCTATCAATATTCAAGACGAGTGAGGCATCATCAACTTTTGAAGCAGTGAACTCCGCGTGCCTCTCGAAGTGTCAACTGGATGTGAGGCATTCCGTCAAAATGAGGCAGGGACCTAGAGCTTTCTCTATGGTCTCCACAGGGTACTCAGACATCCCTTCATGTTGTGAGATGAAAGACGAGCGTGTATTCAAGCCACTGCAAGGAAATCCGACCTCCTTTCAAGTTAGGGCTTCTCGCTGTATATTCCCCTTGAGGCAGCAAACTCGGGGTCTCTCCCACATACCTATTGCTGAGAGAAGCCTCCCCTTGAGGTGCTTCTGGAAAGTTGGCATATGTCTTGAGCGTAACCCAGGGAATCAGCTCCCATCTCCAGACAATTTGGGGTCCACGAAGGATTCCTCGAGTTGCTGTGCTGATCTTGGTGTTCCTCTAGACTTGGGACAGTGTTCTCGGGGCATCTCTGGAGTTGCCTGAAGAAAGTCAAGCCACTGGAGGTGTTTAATGGGGAATGGGGGATGGCTCTGGAGTCAAAGCCGGCGAATCCGGCCTCATCTCGAGTAGATTTGGGGCACATGGAGCTGCCTTGCGGTGCTGGCGTTACCTCAAGGTCCGTGTAGACTTGTAACAGTATTCTTGGTGACAATCTCCAGATCCATTAAGCAAGTCGAAGCTCCTGACTTGTTTGAAGGGGATCACGGGATTGCTCTTCATGCACTGCAGGGGAATCGGGCCTCATCTCGCATCTAGGGGGAAGTGTCATGGTTTTTCTCGAGTTGCGGTGGGGACCTGGGGTATGTTCTCGAGTTAAGGCGGCGATGGCCCTTCAAAACACGTGTTTATTCAGTGACGTCAGGACTCCTGTCTAGTAACGAGGGACACCTCAGGAATCTCTTCGAGGCTTGGCAGGGCAAAACTGATTCCTCTTGAGGTGAGGCAGGGCAACCAAGGACACTTTCCAGTAGCCACAGTGATTTTTTGATTCCTATCAATGTTCAAGAGGAGTCAGGCATCGTCACATTTTGAAGCAGTGAACTCCGCGTGCCTCTCGAGTTGTCAACCGGATGTGAGGCATTCCGTCAAATTGAGGCAGGGACCTAGGGCTTTCTCTAAGGTCTCCACAGGGGATTCAGACATCCCTTCCTGTTGTGAGATGAAAGACGAGCCTGTATTCAAGCCACTGCAAGGAAATCCGGCCTCCTTTCAAGTTAGGGTTTCTCGCTCTAGATTCCACTTGAGGCAGCAACTTCGGAGTCCCTCTCACATACCTATCGCTGAAAGAATCCTCCTCTTTAGGTGCTTCTGGAAAGTTGGCATACGTCTTGAGCCTAAGCCAGGAAATCAGCTCTCATTTCGAGAAGATTTGGGGTACACAGAGCATTCCTCGAGTTGCTGTGCTGAAGTTGGTGTTCTTCTAGACTTCGGAGAGTGTTCTCGGGGCATCGCTGGAGTTGCATGAAGGAAGTCAAGCCACTGGTCTTGTTTAATGGGGAACGGGGAATGGCTCTGGAGTCAATGCAGGGGAATCGGGCCTCATCTGGAGTTGATTTGGGGCACATGGAGCTGCTATGCATTGCTGGGGTGACCTCGCGGTCCGTCTAGACTTGTGAAAGTGTTCTTGGGGACTGTCTTGAGATCCATTAAGCAAGTCGAAACTCCTGACTTGTTTGATGGGTATCATGGAATAGCTCTGCATGCACTGCAGGGGAATCGGGCTTCATCTCGCATCTATGGGGAAGTCTCATGGTGTTTCTCGAGATGTGGCGGGGACCTGGGTTATGTTCTCGAGTTACGGCGGGGATGGCCCTTCAAAACACTTGTTTATTCAGTGACTCAGGATTCCTGTCTAGTAATGAGGGACACCTCAGGAGTCTCTTCGAGGCTTGGCAGGGCACAAGGGACGCTTCTCGAGGTGAAGCACGGCACCCAAGGACACATTCCAGTAGCCACAGGGATTTGGGGATTCCTATCAATATTCAAGTGGAGTCAGGCATCGTCACCGTTTCAAGCAGTGAACTCCGCGTGCCTCTCGAGGTGTCAACGGGATGTGAGGCATTCCGTCAAAATGAGGCAAGGACCTATGGTATTCTCTAAGGTATCCACAGGGGATTTGGACATCCCTTCATGTTGTGAGATGAAAGACGAGCCTGTATTCAAGACACTGCAAGGAAATCCGGCCTCCTTTCAAGTTAGGGCTTCTCGATGTATATTCCACTTGAGGCAGCAAACTCAGGGTCGCTCCCACATACCTATTGCTGAGAGAAGCCTCCTCTTGAGGTGCTTCTGGGAACTTGTCATACGTCTTGAGCCTAAGCCAGGGAATCAGCTCCCATCTCCAGACGATTTGGGGTACACGGAGCTTTCCTCGAGTTGCTATGCTCATGTTGGTGTTCCTCTAGACTTGGGACAGTGTTCTCGGGAGTTTCCTGAAGAAAGTCAAGCCACTGGTGGTGTTTAATGGGGAACGGGGGATGGCTCTGGAGTCAATGCAGGAGAATCGGGCATCATCTCGAGTTGACTTGGGGCACATGGAGCTGTTTCCGTTGCTGGGGTGACCTCAGGGTCCATCTAGACATGTGACAGGGTTCTTGGAGACTGTCTCGAGATCCCTTAAGCAAGTCGAATCTCCTGATTGGTTGATGGGGCTCTCGGAATGGCTCTGCATACACTGCAGGGGAATCGGGCCTCATCTCGCATCTAGGATGAAGTCTCATGGTTTTTCTCGAGTTGTGGCGGGGACCTGGGGTATGTTCTCGAGTTACGGCGGGGATGGCCCTTCAAAATACGTTTTTATTCAGTGACGTAAGGACTCCTGTCTAGTAACGAGGTAAACTTCAGGAATCTCTTCGAGGCTTGGCAGGGCACAGGGGACGCTTCTCGAAGTGAGTCAGGGCAAACAAGCATGCTTTCCAGTAGCCACAGGGATTTTGGGATTCCTATCAATTTTCAACAGGAGTCAGGCATCTTCCCCTTTTGAAGCAGTGAACTCTGCGTGCCTCTCGAGGTGTCAACGGGATGTGAGGCATTCCGTCAAAATGGTGCAGGGACCTATGGCTTTCTTTAAGGTCTCCACAGGGGATTTGGACATCCCTTCGTGTTGTGAGATGAAAGACGAGCCTGTATTCAAGCCACTGCAAGGAAATACGGCCTCCTTTCAAGTTAGGGTTTCTCACTGTGTATTCCACTTGAGGAAGCAAACTCGGGGTCCCACCAACATACCTATTGCTGAGAGGAGCCTCCTCTTGAGGTGCTTCTGGAAAGTTGGCATGCGTCTTGAGCCTGAGCCAGAGAATTATCTCTCATCTCGAGAAGATTTGAGGTACACGGAGCATTCCTCGAGTTGCTGTGCTGAAGTTGGTGTTCCTCTAGACTTGGGACAGTGTTCTCAGGGCACCTCTGGAGTTGCATGAAGAAGTCAAGCCACTGGTCGTGTTTAATGGGGAACGGGGAATGGCTCTGGAGTCAATGCAGGGGAATCGGGCCTCATCTGGAGTTGATTTGGGGCACATGGAGCTGCTATGCATTGCTGGGGTGATCTCGGGGTCCGTCTAGAATTGTGACAGATTTTTTGGGGACTGTCTTGAGATCCATTAAGCAAGTCGATGCTCCTGACTTGTTTGATGGAGATCACGGAATAGCTCTGCATGCACTGCAGGGGAATCGGGCTTCAACTCGCATCTATAGGGAAGTCTCATGGTTTTTCTCGAGTTGTGGCGGGGACCTGGGTTCTGTTCTCGAGTTACGGCGGGGATGGCCCTTCAAAACTCGTGTTTATTCAGTGACGTCAGGACTCCTGTCTAGTAACGAGGGACACCTCAGGAATCTCTTCGAGGCTTGGCAGGGCACAAGAGACGCTTCTCGAGGTGAGGCAGGGCACCCAAGGACACACTCAAGTTGCCACAGGGATTTTGGGATTCCTATCAATGTTCAAGTGGAGTCAGGCATCGTCACCTTTTGAAGCAGTGAACTCCGCGTGCCTCTCGAGGTGTCAACGGGATGTGAGGCATTCCGTCAAAATGAGGCAGGTACCTATGGCATTCTCTAAGGTATCCACAGGGGATTACGACATCCCTTCATGCTGTGAGATGAAAGCCGAGCCTGTATTCAAGCCACTGCAAGGAAATCCGGCCTCCTTTCAAGTTAGGGCTTCTCGCTGTATATTCCACTTGAGGAGGGAAATCGGGTTCCCTCCCACATACCTGTTGCTGAGAGAAGCCTCCTCTTGAGGTGCTTCTGGAAAGTTGTCATACGTCTTGAGCCTAAGCCAGGGAATCAGCTCTCATCTCCAGATGATTTGGGGTACACAGAGCATTCCTCGAGGGGCTGTGCTGCAGTTCTTGTTCCTCTAGAACTGGGACAGTGTTCTGAGTGCATCTCTGAAGTTGCCTGAAGGAAGTCAAGCCACTGGTCGTGTTTAATCGGGAACGGGGGACGGCTCTGGAGTCAATGCAGGGGAAACGGACCTCATCTCGAGTTGATGTGGGGCACATGGAGCTGCTTTGCGTTGCTGGGATGACCTCAGGTTCTGTCTAGACATGTGACAGGGTCCTTGGGGACTGTCTCGAGATTCATCAAGCAAGTTGAAGCTCCTGACTTGTTTGATGGGGATCACGGAATTGCTCTGCATTCACTGCAGGGGAATCGGGCCTCATCTCGAATCTACGTGGAAGTCTCATGGTTTCTCTCGAGGCGTGGCGGGGACCTGGGGTATGTTCTCGAGTTACGGCGGGGATGGCCCTTCAAAACACGTGTTTATTTGGTGACGTCAGGACTCCTCTCTAGTAATGAGGGACACCTCAGGAATCTCGTCGAGGCTTGGCAAGGCACCAGGGACGCTTCTCGAGGTGAGGCAGGGCACCCAAGGACACTTTCCAGTAGCCACAGGGATTTTGGGATTCCTATCAGTATTGAAGAGGAGTCAGCCATCGTCACCTTTTGAAGCAGTGAACTCCGCGTGCTTCTCGAGGTGTCAACGTGATGTGAGGCATTCCGTCAAAATGAAGCAGGGACCAAGGGCTTTCTCTAAGGTCTCCACAGGGGATTCAGACATCCCTTCCTGTTGTGAGATGAAAGACGAGCCTGTATTCAAGCCACTGCAAGGAAATCCGGGCTCCTTTCAATTTAGGGCTTCTTGCTGTATATTCCACTTGATGCAGCAAACTCGGGTTCCCTCCCACATACCTATTGCTGAGAGAAGCCTCCTCTTGAGGTTCTTCTGGAAAGTTGGCATACGTCTTGAGCATAAGCCAGGGAATCAGCTCTCATCTCGAGGAGATTTGGGGTACACAGAGCATTCCTCGAGTTGCTGTGCTGAAGTTGGTGTTCTTCTAGACTTGGGACAGTGTTCTCGGAGCATCTCTGGAGTTGCCTGAAGGGAGTCAAGCCACTGGTCGTGTTTAATGGGGAACGTGGGATAGCTCTGGGGTCAATGCGGGGCAATCGGGCATCAGCTCGAGTTTATTTGGGGCACATGGAGCAGCTTTGCGTTGCTGGGGTGACCTCAGAGTCCGTCTAGACTTGTGACAGTGTTCTTGGGGACTGTCATGAGATCCATCAAGCAAGTCGATGCTCCTGACTTGTTTGATGGGGATCACGGAATTGCTCTGCATGCACTGCAGGAGAATCGGGCCTCATATCGCATCTAGGGGGAAGTCTCAGGTTTTTTTCTCGAGTTGTGGCTTGGACCTGGGGTATGTTCTCGAGTTACGGCGGGGATGGCCCTTCAAAACACGTGTTTATTCAGTGACGTCAGGACTCCTGTCCAGTAACGAGGGACAGCTCAGTAATCTCTTCGAGGCTTGGCAGGGCACAAGGGACGCTTCTCGAGGTGAGGCAGGGCACCCAACGACCCTTTCCAATAGCCACAGGGATTTTGGCATACCTGTCAATATTCAAGAGGACTCAGGCATCGTCACCTTTTGATGCAGTGAACTCCACATGCCTCTCGAGGTGTCAACGGGATGTGAGGCATTCCGTCAAAATGAGGCAGGGACCTACGGCTTTCTCTAAGGTATTCACAGGGGACTCAGACATCCCTTCATGTTGTGAGATGAAAGACGAGCCTGTATTCAAGCCACTGCAAGGAAATCCGGCCTCCTTTCAAGTTAGGGCTTCTCGCTGTATATTCCCCTTGAGGCAGCAAACTCGGGGTCCCTCCCACATACTTATTGCTGAGAGAAGCCTCCCCTTGAGGTGCTTCTGGAAAGTTGGCATATGTCTTGAGCGTAACCCAGGGAATCAGCTCCCATCTCCAGACGATTTGGGGTCCACGAAGCATTCCTCGAGTTGCTGTGCTGATGTTGGTGTTCCTCTCGACTTGGGACAGTGTTCTCGGGGCATCTCTGGAGTTGCCTGAAGAAAGTCAAGCCACTGGAGGTGTTTAATGGGGAATGGGGGATGGCTCTGGAGTCAAAGCCGGCAAATCCGGCCTCATCTCGAATTGATTTGGGGCACATGGAGCTGCATTGCGGTGCTGGGGTTACCTCAAGGTCCGTGTAGACTTGTAACAGTATTCTTGGTGACTCTCTCCAGATCCATTAAGCAAGTCGAAGCTCCTGACTTGTTTGAAGGGGATCACGGGATTGCTCTGCATGCACTGCAGGGGAATCGGGCCTCATCTCGCATCTAGGGGGAAGTGTCATGGTTTTTCTCGAGTTGTGGTGGGGACCTGGGTTATGTTCTCGAGTTAAGGCGGCGATGGCCCTTCAAAACACGTGTTTATTCAGTGACGTCAGGACTCCTGTCTAGTAACGAGGGACACCTCAGGAATCTCTTCGAGGCTTGGCAGGGCAAAAGGGATTCCTCTCGAGGTGAGGCAGGGCAACCAAGGACACTTTCCAGTAGCCACAGTGATTTTTTGATTCCTATCAAAGTTCAAGAGGAGTCAGGCATCGTCACATTTTGAAGCAGTGAACTTCGCGTGCCTCTCGAGGTGTCAACGGGATGTGAGGCATTGCGTCAAATTGAGGCAGGGACCTAGGGCTTTCTCTAAGGTCTCCACAGGGGATTCAGACATCCCTTCCTGTTGTGAGATGAAAGACGAGCCTGTATTCAAGCCACTGCAAGGAAATCCGGCCTAGTTTCAAGTTAGGGTTTCTCGCTATAGATTCCACTTGAGGCAGCAACTTCGGAGTCCCTCTCACATACCTATTGCTGAAAGAATCCTCCTCTTTAGGTGCTTCTGGAAACTTGGCATACGTCTTGAGCCTAAGCCAGAAAATCAGCTCTCATCTCGAGAAGATTTGGGGTACACAGAGCATTCCTCGAGTTGCTGTGCTGAAGTTGGTGTTCTTCTAGACTTCCGAGAGTGTTCTCGGGGCATCGCTGGAGTTGCATGAAGGAAGTCAAGCCACTGGTCTTGTTTAATGGGGAACGGGGAATGGCTCTGGAGTCAATGCAGGGGAATCGGGCCTCATCTGGAGTTGATTTGGGGCACATGGAGCTGCTATGCATTGCTGGGGTGACCTCGCGGTCCGTCTAGACTTGTGAAAGTGTTCTTGGGGACTGTCTTGAGATCCATTAAGCAAGTCGAAACTCCTGACTTGTTTGATGGGTATCATGGAATAGCTCTGCATGCACTGCAGGGGAATCGGGCTTCATCTCGCATCTATGGGGAAGTCTCATGGTGTTTCTCGTGTTGTGGCGGGGACCTGGGGTATGTACTCGGGTTACGGCGGGGATGGCCCTTCAAAACTCGTGTTTATTCAGTGACGTCAGGACTCCTGTCCAGTAACGAGGGACAGTTCAGGAATCTCTTCGGGGCTTGGCAGGGCACAAGGGACGCTTCTCGATGTGAGGCAGGGCACCCAAGGACACATTCCAGTAGCCACAGGGATTTGGGAATTCCTATCAATATTCAAGTGGAGTCAGGCATCGTCACCGTTTGAAGCAGTGAACTCCGCGTGCCTCTCGAGGTGTCAACGGGATGTGAGGCATTCCGTCAAAATGAGGCAAGGACCTATGGTATTCTCTAAGGTATCCACAGGGGATTTGGACATCCCTTCATGTTGTGAGATGAAAGACGAGCCTGTATTCAAGCCACTGCAAGGAAATCCGGCCTCCTTTCAAGTTAGGGCTTCTCACTGTATATTCCACTTGAGGCAGCAAACTCAGGGTCGCTCCCACATACCTTTTGCTGAGAGAAGCCTCCTCTTGAGGTGCTTCTGGAAACTTGTCATACGTCTTGAGCCTAAGCCAGGGATTCAGCTCTCATCTAGAGACGATTTGTGGTACACGGAGGATTACTCGAATTGCTGTGCTGAAGTTGGTGTTCCTCTAGTCTTGGGACAGTGTTCTCAGGGGATCTCTGGAGTTGCCTGAAGGAAGTCTAGCCAGTTGTCTTGTTTAATGGGGAACTGCGGATGGCTCTGAAGTCAATGCAGGGGAATCGGGCCACGTCTCGGGTTCATTTGGGGCACATGGAGCTGCTTTGCGTTGCTGGGGTGACCTCAGGGTCCGTCTAGACTTGTGACAGTGTTCTTCGTGACTGTCTCGAGATCCATTAAGCAAGTCGAAGCTCCTGACTTGTTTGATGGGGATCACGGGAATACTCTGCATGCACTGCAGGGAATCAGGACTCATCTCGCATCTAGGGGGAAGTCTCACGGTTTCTGTCAAGTTGCACGGGGGACCTGGGGTATCTTCTCGAGTTACGGCGGGGATGGCCCCTCAAAACCCGTGTTTACTCAGTGCCATCAGGACTCCTGTCTAGTAACGAGGGACACATCAGGAATCTCTTCGAGGCTTGGCAGGTCAAAAGGTATGCTTCTCGAGGTGAGGCAGGGCACCCAAGGACCAATTCAAGTAGCCACATTGATTTTGGGATTCCTATCAATATTCAAGACGAGTGAGGCATCATCAACTTTTGAAGCAGTGAACTCCGCGTGCCTCTCGAAGTGTCAACTGGATGTGAGGCATTCCGTCAAAATGAGGCAGGGACCTAGAGCTTTCTCTATGGTCTCCACAGGTGATTCAGACATCCCTTCATGCAGTGAGATGAAAGACGAGCCTGTATTCAAGCCACTGCAAGGAAATCCGGCCTCCTTTCAAGTTAGGGCTTCTCGCTGTATATTCCACTTGAGGCAGCAAACTCGGGGTCCCTCCCAAATACGTATTGCTGAGAGAAGCCTCCTCTTGAGGTGCTTCTGGAAAGTTGGCATACGTCTTGAGCCTAAGCCATGGAATCAGCTCTCAAATCGAAACGATTTGCGTTACACGGAGCATTCCTCGAGTTGCTGTGCTGAAGTTCGTATTCCTCTAGACTTGGGACAGTGTTCTTGGGGCATCTCTGGGGTTGCCTGAAAGAAGTCAAGCCACTGGTGGTGTTTAATGGGGTACGGGGGATGGCTCTGGAATCAATGCATGGGAATCGGGCCTCAACTCGAGTTGATGTGGGGTACTTGGAGCTGCTTTGCATTGCTGGGGTGATGTCAGGGTCTGTCTAGACTTCTGACAGTGTTCCTGGGGACTCTCTCGAGATCCATTAAGCAATTCGAAGCTGCTGACTTGCTTGATGGGGATCACGGGAATGCTCTGCATGGACTGCAGGGAATCAGGCCTCATCTCGCATCTAGGGGAAGTCTCATGGTTTTTCTCGAGTTGCGGCGGGACCTGGGGTATATTCTCGAGTTATGGCGGGCATGGCCCTTGAAAACACGTGTTTATTCAGTGACGTCATGACTCCTGTCTAGTAACGAGGGACACCTCAGGAATCTCTTCGAGCCTTGGCAGGGCAAAAGGGATGCTTCTCGAGGTGAGGCAAGGCACACAAGAACCCTTTCCTGTAGCAACAGTGATTTTGGGATTCCTATCAATGATCAGGAGGGGTCAGGAATCGTCACATTTGAAGCAGTGAACTCCGTGTGCCTCTCGAGGTGTCAACGGGATGTGAGGCAATCCGTCAAAATGAGGCAGGGACCTAGGGCTTTCGCTAAGGTCTCCACAGGGGATTCAGACATTCCTTCCAGTTGTGAGATGAAAGACGAGCCTGTATTCAAGACACAGCAAGGAAACACGGCCTCCTTTCAAGTTAGGGCTTCTCGCTGTACATTCCACTTGAGGCAGCAAACTGGGGGTCCCTCCAACATACCTATTGCTGAGAGAAGCCTCCCCTTGAGGTGCTTCTGGAAAGTTGGCATACGTCTTGAGCCTAAGCCAGGGAATCAGCTCTCATCTCGAGACGATTTGGGGTACACAGAGCATTCCTCGAGTTGCTGTGCTGAAGATGGTGTTCCTCTAGACTTGGGACAGTGCTCTCAGGGAATCCCTGGAGTTGTCTGAAGGAAGTAAAGCCGCTGGTGGTGTTTAATGTGGAACGGGGGATGGCTCTGGAGTCAATGCAGGGGAATCGGGCATTATCTCGAGTTGATGTGGGGCACATGGTGCTGCTTTGCGTTGATGGGGTGACCTCAGGATCCGTCTAGACATGTGACAGTATTCTTGGGGACTGTCTCGAGATCCATTAAGCAAGTCGAAGGTCCTGACTTGTTTGATGGGGATCACGGAATTGCTCTGCATGCACTGCAGGAGAATCGGGACTCATCTCGCCTCTAGACGGAAGTCTCAAGGTTTTTCTCGAGTTGCGGCGGGGACCTGGGGTATGTACTCGAGTTACGGCGGCGATGGCCCTTCAAAACACGTGTTTATTCAGTGACGTCAGGACTCCTGTCCAGTAACGAGGGACAGCTCAGGAATCTCTTCTAGGCTTGCCGGGGCACAAGGGACTCTTCTGGAGATGAGGCAGGGCACCCAAGGAACCTTTCCAATAGCCACAGGGATTTTGGGATTCCTATCAATATTCAAGAGGAGTCAGGCATCGTCACCTTTTGAAGCAGTGAACTCCGCGTGCCTCTCGTGGTGTCAACGGGATGTGAGGCATTCCGTCACAATGAGGCAGGGACCTAGGGCTTTCTCTAAGGTCTTCACAGGGAATTCAGACATCCCTTCCTGTTGTGAGATGAAAGACGAACCTGTATACAAGACACTGCAAGGAAATCCGGCCTTCATTCAAGTTAGGGCTTCTCGCTGTATATTCCATTTTAGGCAGCAAACTCGGGGTCCGACGAACATACCTATTGCTGAGAGAAGCCTCCTCTTGTGGTGCTTCTGGAAAGTTGGCATACGTCTTGAGCCTAGGCCAGGGAATCAGCTCTCATCTCGAGACGATTTGTGGTACACAGGGCATTCCTCGAGTTGCTGTGCTGAAGTTCGTATTCCTCTAGACTTGGGACAGTGTTCTCGGGGCATCTCTGGAGTTGCCTGAAGGGAGTCAATCCAGTGGTGGTGTTTAATGGTGTACAGGGGATGGCTCTGGAGCCAATGCACGGGAATCGGGCCTCATCTCGAGTTGATGTGGGGTACTTGCAGCTGCTTTGCATTGCTGGGGTGACCTCAGGGTCTGTCTAGACTTGTGACATTGTTCCTGGGGACTTTCTGGAGTTCAATTCAGCAAGTCGAAGCTTCTGACTTGTTTCATGGGGATCACGGAATTGCTCTGCATGCACTGCAGGAGAATCGGGCCTCATCTCGCCACTAGGGGAAAGTCTCATGGTTTTTCTCGACTTGTGGCGGGGACCTGGGGTATGTACTCGGGTTTCGGCGGGGATGGCCCTTAAAAACTCGTGTTTATTCAGTGACGTCAGGACTCCTGTCCCGTAACGAGGGACAGCTCAGGAATCTCTTCGAGGCTTGGCAGGCACAAGGGACGCTTCTCGAGGTGAGGCAGGGCACCCAAGGAACCTTTCAAATAGCCACAGGTATTTTGGGATATCTATCAATATTCAAGAGGAGTCAGGCATCGTGAGCTTTTGAAGCAGTGAACTCCGCGTGACTCTCGAGGTGTCAACGGGATGTGAGGCATTCCGTCAAAATGAGGCAGGGACCTAGGGCTTTCTCTAAGGTCTCCACAGGGGATTCAGACATTCCTTCCGGTTGTGAGATGAAAGACGAGCCTGTATTCAAGACACAGCAAGGAAATCCGGCCTCCTTTGAAGTTAGGGCTTCTCGATGTATATTCCACTTTAGGCAGCAAACTGGGGGTCCCTCCAACATACCTATTGCTGAGAGAAGGCTCCCCTTGAGGTGCTTCTGGAAAGTTGGCATACGTCTTGAGCCTAAGCCAGGGAATCAGCTCTCATCTCGAGACGATTTGGGGTACACGGAGCATTCCTCGAGTTGCTGTGCTGAAGATGGTGTTCCTCTAGTCTTGGGACAGTGTTCTCGGGCATTTCTGGAGTTGCCTGAAGGAAGTCAAGCCACTGGTGGTGTTTAATGGGTTACGGGGGATGGCTCTGGAGTCAATGCATGGGTATCGGGCCTCATCTCGAGTTGATGTGGGGTACTTGCAGCTGCTTTGCATTGCTGGGGTGACCTCAGGGTCTGTCTAGACTTGTGACAGTGTTCCTGGGGACTTTCTCGAGTTCAATTAAGCAAGTCGAAGCTCCTGACTTGCTTGATGGGGATCACGGGAATGCTCTGCATGGACTGCAGGGAATCAGGCCTCATCTCGCATCTAGGGGAAGTCTCATGGTTTTTCTCGAGTTGCGGCGGGAACTGGGGTATGTTCTCGAGTTATGGCGGGGATGGCCCTTCAAAACACGTGTTTATTCAGTGACGTCAGGACTCCTGTCTAGTAACGAGAGACATCTCAGGAATCTCTTCGAGGCTTGGCAGGGCAAAAGGGATGCTTCTCGAGGTGACGCAGGGCACCCAAGAACCCTGTCCTGTAGCCACAGTGATTTTGGGATTCCTATCAATGTTCAGGAGGAGTCAGGCATCGTCACATTTTGAAGCAGTGAACTCCGTGTGCCTCTCGAGGTGTCAACGGGATGTGAGGCATTTCGTCAAAATGAGGCATGGACCTAGGGCTTTCTCTAAGGTCTCCACAGGGGATTCAGGCATTCCTTCCGGTTGTGAGATGAAAGACGAGCCTGTATTCAAGACACAGCAAGGAAATCCGGCCTCCTTTGAAGTTAGGGCTTCTCGATGTATATTCCAATTTAGGCAGCAAACTGGGGGTCCCTCCAAAATACCTATTGCTGAGAGAAGGCTCCCCTTGAGGTGCTTCTGGAAAGTTGGCATACGTCTTGAGCCTAAGCCAGGGAATCAGCTCTCATCTCGAGACGATTTGGGGTACACGGAGCATTCCTCGAGTTGCTGTGCTGAAGATGGTGTTCCTCTAGACTTAGGACAGTGTTCTCGGGGCATCTCTGGAGTTGTCTGAAGGAGGTCAAGCCACTGGTGGTGTTTAATGCGGAACGGCAGATGGCTCTGGAGACAATGCAGGGGAATCGGACCTCATCTCAAGTTGATTTGGGGCACATGGAGCTGCTTTGCGTTGCTGGGGATACCTCAGGGTCCGTCTAGACATGTGACAGTGTTCTTGGGGAATGTCTCGAGATCCATTAAGCAAGTCGAAGCCCCTGACTTGTTTGATGGGGATCACGGAATTGCTCTGCATTCAGTTCAGGAGAATCGGGCCTCACCTCGCCTCTAGGCGGAAGTCTCATGGTTTTTCTCGAGTTGCGGCGGGGAACTGGGGTATGTACTCGAGTTACAGCGGCGATAGCCCTTCAAAACACGTGTTTATTCAGTGACGTCAGGACTCCTGTCCAGTAACGAGGGACAGCTCAGGAATCTCTTCGAGCTTGCCGGGGCACAAGGGACGCTTCTCGAGATGAGGCAGGGCACCCAAGGAACCGTTCCAATAGCCACAGTGATTTTGGGATTCCTATCAATATTCAAGAGGAGTCAGGCATCGTCACCTTTTGAAGCAGTGAACTCCGCGTGCCTCTCGAGGTGTCAAAGGGATGTGAGGCATTCCGTCAAAATGAGGCAGGGACCTAGGGCTTTCTCTAAGGTCTTCACAGGGGATTCAGACATCCCTTCCTGTTGTGAGATGAAAGACGAGCCTATATACAAGACAATGCAAGGAAATCCGGCCTCCATTCAAGTTAGGGCTTCTCGCTGTATATTCCACTTGAGGCAGCAAACTGGGGGTCCCTCCAACATACCTATTGCTGAGAGAAGGCTCCCCTTGAGGTGCTTTTGGAAAGTTGGCAAACGTCTTGAGCCTAAGCCAGGGAATCAGCTCTCATCTCGAGACGATTTGGGGTACACGGAGCATTCCTCGAGTTGCTGTGCTGAAGATGGTGTTCCTCTAGACTTGGGACAGTGTTCTCAGGGCATCTCTGGAGTTGCCTGAAGGAAGTCAAGCCACTGGTCGTGTTTAATGTGGAACGGGGGATGGCTCTGGAGTCAATGCAGGGGAATCGGGCATTATCTCGAGTTGATTTGGGGCACATGGTGCTGCTTTGCGTTGATGGGGTGACCTCAGGATCCGTCTAGACATGTGACAGTGTTCTTGGGGACTGTCTCGAGATCCATTAAGCAAGTCGAAGCTTCTGACTTGTTTGATGGGGATCACGGAATTGCTCTGCATGCACTGCAGGAGAATCGGGCCTCATCTCGCCTCTAGGGGAAAGTCTCATGGTTTTTCTCGAATTGCGGCGGGGACCTGGGGTATGTACTCGGGTTACCGCGGGGATGGCCCTTCAAAACTCGTGTTTATTCAGTGACGTCAGAACTCCTGTCCAGTAACGAGGGACAGGTCAGGAATCTCTTCGAGGCTTGGCAGGGCACAAGGGACGCTTCTCGAGGTGAGGCAGGGCACCCAAGGAACCTTTCCAATAGCCACAGGGATTTTGGGATTCCTATCAATATTTTAGAGGAGTCAGGCATCGTCACCTTTTGAAGCAGTGAATTCCGCGTGCCTCTCGAGGTGACAACGGGATGTGAGGCATTCCGTCAAAATGAGGCAGGGACCTATAGCTTTCTCTAAGGTCTCCACAGGGGATTCAGACATCCCTTCATTCTGTGAGATGAAAGACGAGCCTGTATTCAAGCCACTGCAAGGAAATCCGGCCTCCTTTCAAGTTAGGGCTTCTCGCTGTATATTCCCCTTGAGGCAGAAAACTCGGGGTCCCTCCCACATACCTATTGCTGAGAGAAGCCTCCTCCTGTGGTGCTTCTGTAAAGTTGGCATACGTCTTGAGCCTAAGCCAGGGAATCAGCTCTCATCTCGAGACGATTTGGGGTACACGGAGCATTCCTCGAGTTGCTGTGCTGAAGTTGGTGTTCCTCTAGACTTGGGACAGTGTTCTCGGGGCATCTCTGGAGATGCCTGAAGGAAGTCGAGCCACCGGTCGTGTTGAATGGGGAACGGGGAATGGCTCTGGGGTCAATGCAGGGGAATCGGGCCTCATCTCGTGTTGATTTGGGGCACATGGAGCTGCTTTGCATTGCTGGGGTGACCTCAGGGTCCGTCTAGACTTGTGACAGTGTTCTTGGGGACTGTCTCGAAATCCATTAAGCAAGTCGAAGCTCCTGACTTGTTTGATGGGGATCACGGGAATACTCTGCATGCACTGCAGGGAATCAGGACTCATCTCGCATCTAGGGGGAAGTCTCACGGTTTCTCTCAATTTGCGTGGGGGACCTGGGGTATCTTCTCGAGTTACGGCGGGGATGGCCCCTCAAAACCCGTGTTTATTCAGTGCCGTCAGGACTCCTGTCTAGTAACGAGGGAAACCTCAAGAATCTCTTCGAGGCTTGGCAGGTCAAAAGGTATGCTTCTCGGGGTGAGGCAGGGCACCCAATGACCCTTTCCAGTAGCCACAGTGATTTTGGGATTCCTATCAATATTCAAGACGAGTGAGGCATCATCACCTTTTGAAGCAGTGAAATCCGCATGCCTCTCCAAGTGTCAACTGGATGTGAGGCATTCCGTCAAAATGAGGCAGGGACCTAGAGCTTTCTCTAAGGTCTCCACAGGGGATTCAGACATCCCTTCATGTTGTGAGATGAAAGACGAGCCTGTATCCAAGCCACTGCAAGGAAATCCGGCCTCCTTTCAAGTTAGGGCTTCTCGCTGTATATTCCACTTGAGGCAGCAAACTCGGGGTCCCTCCCAAATACCTATTGCTGAGAGAAGCCTCCTCTTGAGGTGCTTCTGGAAAGTTGGCGTACGCCTTGAGCCTAAGCCATGGAATCAGCTCTCACCTCGAAACGATTTGGGGTACACGGAGCATTCCTCGAGTTGCTGTGCTGAAGTTCGTATTCCTCTAGACTTGGGACAGTGTTCTCAGGGCATCTCTCGAGTTGCCTGAAGGAAGTCAAGCCACTGGTGGTGTTTAATGGGGTACGGGGGATGGCTCTGGAGTCAATGCATGGGAATCCGGCCTCAACGCGAGTTGATGTGGGGTACTTGGAGCTGCTTTGCGTTGCTGGGGTGATGTCAGGGTCTGTCTAGACTTGTGACAGTGTTCCTGGGGACTCTTTCGAGATCCATTAAGCAATTCGAAGCTGCTGACTTGCTTGATTGGGATCACGGGAATGCTCTGCATGGACTGCAGGGAATCAGGCCTCATCTCGCATCTAGGGGAAGCCTCATGGTTTTTCTCGAGTTGCGGCGGGACCTGGGGTATGTTCTCGAGTTATGGCGGGCATGGCCCTTGAAAACACGTGTTTATTCAGTGACGGCATGACTCCTGTCTAGTAATGAGGGACACCTCAGGAATCTCTTCGAGCCTTGGCAGGGCAAAAGGGATGCTTCTCGAGGTGAGGCAGGGCACACAAGAATCCTTTCCTGTAGCCACAGTGATTTTGGGATTCCTATCAATGACAAGGAGGGGTCAGGCATCGTCACATTTGAAGCAGTGAACTCCGTGTGCCTCCCGAGGTGTCAACAGGATGTGAGGCAATCCGTCAAAATGAGGCAGGGACCTAGGGCTTTCGCTGAGGTCTCCACAGGGGATTCAGACAATCCTTCCGGTTGTGAGATGAAAGACGAGCCTGTATTCAAGACACTACAAGGAAACACGGCCTCCTTTCAAGTTAGGGCTTCTCGTTGCATATTCCACTTGAGGCAGCAAACTGGGGGTCCCTCCAACATAACTATTGCTGAGAGAAACCTCCCCTTGAGGTGCTTCTGGAAAGTTGGCATACGTCTTGAGCCTAAGCCAGGGAATCAGCTCTCATCTCGAGACGATTTGGGGTACACGGAGCATTCCTCGAGTTGCTGTGCTGAAGATGGTGTTCCTCTAGTCTTGGGACAGTGTTCTCAGGGCATCTCTGGAGTTGTCTGAAGGAAGTCAAGCCACTGGTGGTGTTTAATGTGGAACGGGGGATGGCTCTGGAGTCAATGCAGGGGAATCGGGCATTATCTCGAGTTGATGTGGGGCACATGGTGCTGCTTTGCGTTGATGGGGTGACCTCAGGATCCGTCTAGACATGTGATAGTATTCTTGGGGACTGTCTCGAGATCCATTAAGCAAGTCGAAGGTCCTGACTTGTTTGATGCGGATCACGGAATTGCTCTGCATGCACTGCAGGAGAATCGGGCCTCATCTCGCCACTAGGTGAAAGTCTCATGATTTTTCTCGACTTGCGGCGGGGACCTGGGGTATGTACTCGGGTTACGGCGGGGATGGCCCTTAAAAACTCGTGTTTATTCAGTGACGTCAGGACTCCTGTCCAGTAACGAGGGACAGCTCAGGAATCTCTTCGAGGCTTGGCAGGCACAAGGGACGCTTCTCGAGGTGAGGCAGGGCACACAAGGAAACTTTCAAATAGCCACAGGGATTTTGTGATTCCTATCAATATTCAAGAGGAGTCAGGCATCGTCAGCTTTTGAAGCAGTGAACTCCGCGTGACTCTCGAGGTGTCAACGGGATGTGAGGCATTCCGTCAAAATGAGGCAGGGACCTAGTGCTTTCTCTAAAGTCTCCACAGGGGATTCAGACACCTCTTCCTGCTGTGAGATGAAAGAAGAGCCTGTATTCAAGACACTGCTAGGAAACCGGCCTCCATTCTAGTTAGTGCTTCTCGCTGTATATTCCATTTGAGGCAGCAAACTCGGGTTCCCTCCCACATAACTATTGCTGAGAGAAACCTCCTCTTGAGGTGCTTCTGGAAAGTTGGCATACGTCTTGAGCCTAAGCCAGGGAATCAGCTCTCATCTCGAGAAGATTTGACATACAGGAAGCATTCCTCGAGTTGCTGTGCTAAAGTAGGTGTTCCTCTAGACTTGGGACAGTGTTCTCGGGGCATATCTGGAGTTGTCTGAAGGAGGTCAAGCCACTGGTGGTGTTTAATGCGGAACGGCAGATGCCTCTGGAGTCAATGCAGGGGAATCGGACCTCATCTCAAGTTGATTTGGGGCACATGGAGCTGCTTTGCGTTGCTGGGGATACCTCAGGGTCCGTCTAGACATGTGACAGTGTTCTTGGGGAATGTCTCGAGATCCATTAAGCAAGTCGAAGCTCCTGACTTGTTTGATGGGGATCACGGAATTGCTCTGCATGCACTGCAGGAGAATCGGGCCTCATCTCGCCTCTAGGCGGAAGTCTCATGGTTTTTCTCGAGTTGCTGCGGGGACCTGGGGTATTTACTCGAGTTACGGCGGCGATGGCCCTTCAAAACACGTGTTTATTCAGTGACGTCAGGACTCCTGTCCAGTAACGAGGGACAGCTCAGGAATTTCTTCGAGGCTTGCCGGGGCAAAAGGGACGCTTCTCGAGATGAGGCAGGGAACCCAAGGAACCTTTCCAATAGCCACAGGGATTTTGGGATTCCTATCAATATTCAAGAGGAGTCAGGCATCGTCACCTTTTGAAGCAGTGAACTCCGCGAGCCTCTCGTGGTGTCAACGGGATGTGAGGCATTCCGTCACAATGAGGCAGGGAACTAGGGCTTTCTCAAAGGTCTTCACAGGGGATTCAGACATCCCTTCCTGTTGTGAGATGAAAGACGAGCCTGTATACAAGACACTGCCAGGAAATCCGGCCTCCATTCAAGTTAGGGCTTCTCACTGTATATTCCACTTTAGGCAGCAAACTCGGGGTCCCACGAACATACCTATTGCTGAGAGAAGCCTCCTCTTGAGGTGCTTCTGGAAAGTTGGCATACGTCTTGAGCCTAAGCCAGGGAATCAGCTCTCATCTCGAGACGATTTGTGGTACACGGGGCATTCCTCGAGTTGCTGTGCTGAAGTTGGTGTTCCTCTAGTCTTGGGACAGTGTTTTCGGGCATCTCTGGAGTTGTCTGAAGGAAGACAAGCCAGTGGTCTTGTTTAATGGGGAACTGGGGATGGCTCTGGAGTCAATGCAGGGGAATCGGGCCACATCTCGGGTTGATTCGGGGCACATGGAGCTGCTTTGCGTTGCTGGGGTGACCTCATTGTCCGTCTAGACTTGTGACAGTGTTCTTGGGGACTGTCTCGAGATCCATTAAGCAAGTCGAAGCTCCTGACTTGTTTGATGGGGATCACGGAAATACTCTGCATGCACTGCAGGGAATCAGGACTCATCTCGCATCTAGGGGGAAGTCTCATGGTTTCTCTTAAGTTGCGTGGGGGACCTGGGGTATCTTCTCGATTTACGGCGGGGATGGCCCTTGAAAACACGTGTTTATTCAGTGCCGTCAGGACTCCTGTCTAGTAACGAGGGAAACCTCAGGAATCTCTTCGAGGCTTGGCAGGTCAAAAGGTATGCTTCTCGAGGTGAGGCAGGGCACCCAACGACCCTTTCCAGTAGCCACAGTGATTTTGGGATTCCTATCAATATTCATGACGAGTCAGGCATCATCACCTTTTGAAGCAGTGAACTCCGGGTGCCTCTCGAGGTGTCAACGTGATGTGAGGCATTCCGTCAAAATGAGGCAGGGACCTAGAGCTTTCTCTAAGGTCTAACAGGGGCTTCAGACATGCCTTCATGCTGTGAGATGAAAGACGAGCCTGTATTCAAGCCAGTGCAAGGAAATCCGGCCTCCTTTCAAGTTAGGGCTTCTCGCTGTATATTCCACTTGAGGCAGCAAACTTGGGGTCCCTCCCACATATCGATTGCTGAGAGAAGCCTCCTCTTGAGGTGCTTCAGGAAAGTTGGTATACGTCTTGAGCCTAAGCCAGGGAATCAGCTCTCACCTCGAAACGATTTGGGGTACACGGAGCATTCCTCGAGTTGCTGTGCTGAAGTTCGTATTCCTCTAGACTTGGGACAGTGTTCTCGGGGCATCTCTGGAGTTCCCGGAAGGAAGTCAAGCCAATGGTGGTGTTTAATGGGTACGGGGGATGGCTCTGGAGTCAATGCATGGGAATCGGGCCTCATCTCGAGTTGATGTGGGGTACTTGGAGCTGCTTTGCGTTGCTGGGGTGATGTCAGGGTCTGTCTAGACTTGTGACAGTGTTCCTGGGGACTCTCTCGAGATCCATTAAGCAATTCGAAGCTGCTGATTTGCTTGATTGGGATCACGGGAATGCTCTGCATGGACTGCAGGGAATCAAGCCTCATATCGCATCTAGGGGAAACCTCATCGTTTTTCTCGAGTTGCGGCGGGACCTGGGGTATGTTCTCGAGTTATGGCGGGCATGGCCCTTGAAAACACGTGTTTATTCAGTGACGTCATGACTCCTGTCTAGTAATGAGGGACACCTCAGGAATCTCTTCGAGCCTTGGCAGGGAAAAAGGGATGCTTCTCGAGGTGAGGCAGGGCACACAAGAACCCTTTCCTGTAGCCACAGTGATTTTGGGATTCCTATCAATGTTCAGGAGGAGTCAGGCATCGTCCCACATTTGAAGCAGTGAACTCCGTGTGCCTCTCGAGGTGTCAACGGGATGTGAGGCAATCCGTCAAAATGAGGCAGGGACCTAGGGCTTTCGCTAAGGTCTCCACAGGGGATTCAGACATTCCTTCCGGTTGTGAGATGAAAGACGAGCCTGTATTCAAGACACTGCAAGGAAATCCGGCCTCCTTTCAAGTTAGGGCTTCTCGCTGTATATTCCACTTGAGGCAGCAAAGTGGAGGTCCCTCCAACATACCTATTGCTGAGAGAAGCCTCCCCTTGAGGTGCTTCTGGAAAGTTGGCATACGTCTTGAGCCTAAGCCAGGGAATCAGCTCTCATCTCGAAACGATTTGAGGTACACGGAGCATTCCTCGAGTTGCTGTGCTGAAGATGGTGTTCCTCTAGACTTGGGACAGTGTTCTCAGGGCATCTCTGGAGTTGTCTGAAGGAAGTCAAGCCACTGGTGGTGTTTAATGTGGAACGGGAGATGGCTCTGGAGTCAATACAGGGGAATCGGACCTCATCTCAAGTTGATTTGGGGCACATGGAGCTGCTTAGCGCTGCTGGGGATACCTGAGGGTCCGTCTAGACATGTGACAGTGTTCTTGGGGAATGCCTCGAGATCCATTAAGCAAGTCGAAGCTCCTGACTTGTTGGATGGGGATCACGGAATTGCTCTGCATGCACTGCAGGAGAATCGGGCCTCATCTCGCCTCTAGGGGAAAGTTTCATGGTTTTTCTCGAGTTGCGGCGGGGACCTGGGATATGTTCTCGAGTTACGGTGGCGATGGCCCTTCAAAACACGTGTTTATTCAGTGACGTCAGGACTCCTGTCCAGTAACGAGGGACAGCTCAGGAATCTCTTCGAGCTTGCCGGGGCACAAGGCACGCTTCTCGAGATGAGGCAGGGCACCCAAGGAACCGTTCCAATAGCCACAGTGATTTTGGGATTCGTATCAATATTCAAGAGGAGTCAGGCATCGTCACCTTTTGAAGCAGTGAACTCCGCGTGCCTCTCGTTGTGTCAACGGGATGTGAGGCATTCTGTCACAATGAGGCAGGGAGCTATGGCTTTCTCTAAGGTCTTCACAGGGGATGCAGACATCCCTTCCTGTTGTGAGATGAAAGACGAGCCTGTATACAAGACACTGCAAGGAAATCCGGCCTCCTTTCAAGTTAGGGCTTCTCACTGTATATTCCACTTGAGGCAGCAAACTCGGGTTCCCTCCCACATACCGATTGCTGAGAGAAGCCTCCTCTTGAGGTGCTTCTGGAAAGTTGGCATACATCTTGAGCCTAAGCCAGGGAATCAGCTCTCATCTCGAGACGATTTGTGGTACACGGGGCATTCCTCGAGTTGCTGTGCTGAATTTGGTGTTCCTCTAGTCTTGGGACAGTGTTCTCGGGGCATCTCTGGAGTTGCCTGAAGGAAGACAAGCCAGTGGTCTTGTTTAATAGGGAACTGGGGATGGCTCTGGAGTCAATGCAGGGGAATCGGGCCACATCTCGGGTTGATTTGGGGCACATGGAGCTGCTTTGCGTTGCTGGGGTGACCTCAGGGTCTGTCTAGACTTGTGACAGTGTTCTTGGGGACTGTCTCGAGATCCATTAAGCAAGTCGAAGCTCCTGACTTGTTTGATGGGGATCACGGGAATACTCTGCATGCACTGCAGGGAATCAGGACTCATCTCGCATCTAAGGGGAAGTCTCATGTTTTCTCTCAAGTTGCGCAGGGGACCTGGGATATCTTCTCGAGTTATGGCGGGGATGGCCCTTGAAAACACTTGTTTATTCAGTGCCGTCAGGACTCCTGCCTAGTAACGACGGACACCTCAGGAATCTCTTCGAGGCTTGGCAGGGCAAAATGGATGCTTCTCGAGGTGAGGCAGGGCACACAGGAATCCTTTCCTGTAGCCACAGTGATTTTGGGATTCCTATCAATATTCAAGACGAGTTAGGCATCATCACCTTTTGAAGCAGTGACCTCCGCGTGCCTCTCGATGTGTAAACGGGATGTAGGCATTCCGTCAAAATGAGGCAGGGACCTAGAGCTTTCTCTAAGGTCTCCACAGGGGATTCAGACATCCCTTCATGCTGTGAGATGAAAGACGAGCCTGTATTCAAGCCACTGCAAGGAAATCCGGCCTCGTTTCAAGTTAGGGCTTCTCGCTGTATATTCCACTTGAGGCAGCAAACTCGGGGTCCCTCCCACATACCTATTGCTGAGAGAAGCCTCCTCTTGAGGTGCTTCTGGAAAGTTGGCATATGTCTTGAGCCTAAGTCATGGAATCAGCTCTCACCTCGAAACGATTTGGGGTACACGGAGCATTCCTCGAGTTGCTGTGCTGAAGTTCGTATTCCTCTAGACTTGGGACAGTGTTCTCGGGGCATCTCTGGAGTTGCCTGAAGGAAGTCAAGCCTCTGGTGGTGCTTAATGGGGTACGGGGGATGGCTCTGGAGTCAATGCCAGAGAATCGGGCCTCATCTCGAGTTGATGTGGGGCACTTGGAGCTGCTTTGCATTGCTGGGGTGACCTCAGGGTCTGTCTAGACTTGTGACAGTGTTCCTGGGGACTCTCTGGAGATCCATTAAGCAAGTCGAAGCTCCTGACTTGCTTGATGGGGATCACGGGACTGCTCTGCATGGACTGCAGGGAATCACACCTCATCTCGCATCTAGGGGAATTCTCATCGTTTTGCTGGAGTTGCGGCCGGACCTGGGGTATGTTCTCGACTTATGGCGGGGATGGGCCTTCAAAACACGTGTTTATTCAGTGACGTCAGGACTCCTGTCTAGTAACGAGGGACACCTCAGGAATCTCTTCGAGGCTTGGCAAGGCAAAATGGATGCTTCTCGAGGTGAGGCAGGGCACGCAAGAATCCTTTCCTGTAGCCACAGTGATTTTGGGATTCCTATCAATATTCAAGACAAGTGAGGCATCATCACCTTTTGAAGCAGTGAACTCCGCGTGCCTCTCGAAGTGTCAACGGGATGTGAGGCATTCCGTCAAAATGAGGCAGGGACCTAGAGCTTTCTCTAATGTCTCCACAGGGGATTCAGACATCCCTTCATGCTGTGAGATGAAAGACGAGCCTGTATTCAAGCCACTGCAAGGAAATCGGGCCTCCTTTCAAATTAGGGTTTCTCGCTGTATATTCCACTTGGGGCAGCAAACTCGGGGTCCCTCCCAAATACCTATTGCTGAGAGAAGCCTCCTCTTGAGGTGCTTCTGGAAAGTTGGCATACATCTTGAGCCTAAGCCATGGAATCAGCTCTCACCTCGAAACGATTTGGGGTACACGGAGCATTCCTTGAGTTGCTGTGCTGAAGTTCGTATTCTCTAGACTTGGGACAGTGTTCTCGGGGCATCTCTCGAGTTGCCTGAAGGAAGTCAAGCCACTGGTGGTGTTTAATGGGGTACGGGGGATGGCTCTGGAGTCAATGCATGGGAATCGGGCCTCAACTCGAGTTGATGTGGGGTACTTGGAGATGCTTTGCATTGCTGGGGTGATGTCAGGGTCTGTCTAGACTTGTGACAGTGTTCCTGGGGACTCTCTCGAGATCCATTAAGCAATTCGAAGCTGCTGACTTGCTTGATTTGGATCACGGGAATGCTCTGCATGGACTGCAGGGAATCAGGCCTCATCTCGCATCAAGGGGAAGTCTCATGGTTTTTCTCGAGTTGCGGCGGGACCTGGGGTATGTTCTCGAGTTATGGCGGGCATGGCCCTTGAAAACACGTGTTTATTCAGTGACGTCATGACTCCTGTCTAGTAATGAGGGACACCTCAGAAATCTCTTCGAGCCTTGGCAGGGCAAAAGGGATGCTTCTCGAGGTGAGGCAGGGCACACAAGAACCCTTTCCTGTAGACACAGTGATTTTGGGATTCCTATCAATGATCAGGAGCGGTCAGGCATCGTCACATTTGAAGCAGTGAACTCCGTGTGCCTCCCGAGGTGTCAACGGGATGTGAGGCATTCCGTCAAAATGAGGCAGGGACCTAGAGCTTTCTCTAAGGTCTCCACAGGGGATTCAGACATCCCTTCATGCTGTGAGATGAAAGACGAGCCTGTATTCAAGACACTGCAAGGAAACCCGGCCTCCTTTCAAGTTAGGGCTTCTCGTTGCATATTCCACTTGAGGCAGCAAACTGGGGGTCCCTCCAACATAACTATTGCTGAGAGAAGCCTCCCCTTGAGGTGCTTCTGGAAAGTTGGCATACGTCTTGAGCCTAAGCCAGGGAATCAGCTCTCATCTCGAGACGATTTGGGGTACACGGAGCATTCCTCGAGTTGCTGTGCTGAAGATGGTGTTCCTCTAGACTTGGGACAGTGTTCTCAGGGCATCTCTGGAGTTGTCTGAAGGAAGTCAAGCCACTGGTGGTGTTTAATGTGGAACGGGGGATGGCTCTGGAGTTAATGCAGGGGAATCGGGCATTATCTCGAGTTGATGTGGGGTACATGGTGCTGCTTTGGGTTGATGGGGTGACCTCAGGATCCGTCTAGACATGTGACAGTATTCTTGGGGACTGTCTCGAGATCCATTAAGCAAGTCGAAGGTCCTGACTTGTTTGATGGGGATCACGGAATTGCTCTGCATGCACTGCAGGAGAATCGGGCCTCATCTCGCCACTAGGGGAAAGTCTCATGGTTTTTCTCGACTTGGGGCGGGGACCTGGGGTATGTACTCGGGTTACGGCGGGGATGGCCCTTAAAAACTCGTGTTTAATCAGTGACGTCAGGACTCCCGTCCAGTAACGAGGGACAGCACAGGAATCTCTTCGAGGCTTGGCAGGCACTAGGGACGCTTCTCGAGCTGAGGCAGGGCACCCAAGGAACCTTTCAAATAGCCACAGGGATTTTGTGATTCCTATCAATATTCAAGAGGAGTCAGGCATCGTCAGCTTTTGAAGCAGTGAACTCCGCATGACTCTCGAGGTGTCAACGGGATGTGAGGCATTCCGTCAAATGAGGCAGGGACCTAGGGCTTTCTCTAAGGTCTCCACAGGGGATTCAGACATCCCTTCATGCTGTGAGATGAAAGACAAGCCTGTATTCAAGCCACTGCAAGGAAATCCGAACTCCTTTCAAGTTAGGGCTTCTCGCTGTATATTCCACTTGAGGCAGCAAACTCGGGGTCCCTCCCACATACCTATTGCTGAGAGAAGCCTCCTCTTGAGGTGCTTCTGGAAAGTTGGCATACGTCTTGAGCCTAAGCCATGGAATCAGCTCTCACCTCGAAACGATTTGGGGTACACGGAGCATTCCTCGAGTTGCTGTGCTGAAGTTCGTATTCCTCTAGACTTGGGACAGTGTTCTCGAAGCATCTCTAGAGTTGCCGGAAGGAAGTCAAGCCAATGGTGGTGTTTAATGGGGTACGGGGGATGGCTCTGGAGTCAATGCATGGGAATCGGGCCTCATCTCAAGTTGATGTGGGGTACTTGCAGCTGCTTTGCATTGCTTGGGTGACCTCAGGGTCTGTCTAGACTTGTGACAGTGTTCCTGGGGACTTTCTCGAGTTCAATTAAGCAAGTCGAAGCTCCTGACTTGCATGATGGGGATCACGGGAATGCTCTTCATGGACTGCAGGAATCAGGCCTCATCTCGCATCTAGGGGAAGTCTCATGGTTTTACTCGAGTTGCGGCGCGAACTGGGGTATGTTCTCGAGTTACGGCGGGGATGGCCCTTCAAAACACGTGTTTATTCAGTGACGTCAGGACTCCTGTCTAGTAACGAGAGACACCTCAGGAATCTCTTCGAGGCTTGGCAGGACAAAAGGGATGCTTCTCGAGGTGAGGCAGGGCACCCAAGAACCCTGTCCTGTAGCCACAGTGATTTTGGGATTCCTATCAATGTTCAGGAGGAGTCAGGCATCGTCACATTTTGAAGCAGTGAACTCCGTGTGCCTCTCGAGGTGTCAAAGGGATGTGAGACATTCCGTCAAAATCAGGCAGGGACCTAGGGCTTTCTCTAAGGTCTCCACAGTGGATTCAGACATCCCTTCCTGTTGTGAGATGAAAGACGAGCCTGTATTCAAGACACTGCAAGGAAATACGGCCTCCTTTCAAGTTAGGGCTTCTCGCTGTATATTCCACTTGAGGCAGCAAAGTGGAGGTCCCTCCAACATACCTATTGCTGAGAGAAGCCTCCTCTTGAGGTGCTTCTGGAAAGTTGGCATACGTCTTGAGCCTAAGCCAGGGAATCAGCTCTCATCTCGAGAAGATTTGGCATACAGCAAGCATTCCTCGAGTTGCTGTGCTAAAGTAGGTGTTCCTCTAGACTAGGGACAGTGTTCTCGGGGCATCTCTAGAGTTGCCGGAAGGAAGTCAAGCCAATGGTGGTGTTTAATGGGGTACGGGGGATGGCTCTGGAGTCAATGCATGGGAATCGGGCCTCATCTCAAGTTGATGTGGGGTACTTGCAGCTGCTTTGCATTGCTTGGGTGACCTCAGGGTCTGTCTAGACTTGTGACAGTGTTCCTGGGGACTTTCTCGAGTTCAATTAAGCAAGTCGAAGCTCCTGACTTGCATGATGGGGATCACGGGAATGCTCTTCATGGACTGCAGGAATCAGGCCTCATCTCGCATCTAGGGGAAGTCTCATGGTTTTACTCGAGTTGCGGCGCGAACTGGGGTATGTTCTCGAGTTACGGCGGGGATGGCCCTTCAAAACACGAGTTTATTCAGTGACGTCAGGACTCCTGTCTAGTAACGAGAGACACCTCAGGAATCTCTTCGAGGCTTGGCAGGACAAAAAGGATGCTTCTCGAGGTGAGGCAGGGCACCCAAGAACCCTGTCCTGTAGCCACAGTGATTTTGGGATTCCTATCAATGTTCAGGAGGAGTCAGGCATCGTCACATTTTGAAGCAGTGAACTCCGTGTGCCTCTCGAGGTGTCAAAGGGATGTGAGACATTCCGTCAAAATCAGGCAGGGACCTAGGGCTTTCTCTACGGTCTCCACAGGTGATTCAGACATCCCTTCATGCAGTGAGATGAAAGACGAGCCTGTATTCAAGCCACTGCAAGGAAATCCGGCCTCCTTTCAAGTTAGGGCTTCTCGCTGTATATTCCACTTGAGGCAGCAAACTCGGGGTCCCTCCCAAATACGTATTGCTGAGAGAAGCCTCCTCTTCAGGTGCTTCTGGAAAGTTGGCATACGTCTTGAGCCTAAGCCATGGAATCAGCTCTCAAATCGAAACGATTTGCGTTACACGGAGCATTCCTCGAGTTGCTGTGCTGAAGTTCGTATTCCTCTAGACTTGGGACAGTGTTCTTGGGGCATCTCTGGAGTTGCCTGAAAGAAGTCAAGCCACTGGTGGTGTTTAATGGGGTACGGGGGATGGCTCTGGAATCAATGCATGGGAATCGGGCCTCAACTCGAGTTGATGTGGGGTACTTGGAGCTGCTTTGCATTGCTGGGGTGATGTCAGGGTCTGTCTAGACTTCTGACAGTGTTCCTGGGGACTCTCTCGAGATCCATTAAGCAATTCGAAGCTGCTGACTTGCTTGATGGGGATCACGGGAATGCTCTGCATGGACTGCAGGGAATCAGGCCTCATCTCGCATCTAGGGGAAGTCTCATGGTTTTTCTCGAGTTGCGGCGGGACCTGGGGTATATTCTCAAGTTATGGCGGGCATGGCCCTTGAAAACACGTGTTTATTCAGTGACGTCATGACTCCTGTCTAGTAACGAGGGACACCTCAGGAATCTCTTCGAGCCTTGGCAGGGCAAAAGGGATGCTTCTCGAGGTGAGGCAAGGCACACAAGAACCCTTTCCTGTAGACACAGTGATTTTGGGATTCCTATCAATGATCAGGAGGGGTCAGGAATCGTCACATTTGAAGCAGTGAACTCCGTGTGCCTCTCGAGGTGTCAACGGGATGTGAGGCAATCCGTCAAAATGAGGCAGGGACCTAGGGCTTTCGCTAAGGTCTCCACAGGGGATTCAGACATTCCTTCCAGTTGTGAGATGAAAGACGAGCCTGTATTCAAGACACAGCAAGGAAACACGGCCTCCTTTCAAGTTAGGGCTTCTCGCTGTACATTCCACTTGAGGCAGCAAACTGGGGGTCCCTCCAACATACCTATTGCTGAGAGAAGCCTCCCCTTGAGGTGCTTCTGGAAAGTTGGCATACGTCTTGAGCCTAAGCCAGGGAATCAGCTCTCATCTCGAGACGATTTGGGGTACACGGAGCATTCCTCGAGTTGCTGTGCTGAAGATGGTGTTCCTCTAGACTTGGGACAGTGCTCTCAGGGAATCCCTGGAGTTGTCTGAAGGAAGTAAAGCCGCTGGTGGTGTTTAATGTGGAACGGGGGATGGCTCTGGAGTCAATGCAGGGGAATCGGGCATTATCTCGAGTTGATGTGGGGCACATGGTGCTGCTTTGCGTTGATGGGGTGACCTCAGGATCCGTCTAGACATGTGACAGTATTCTTGGGGACTGTCTCGAGATCCATTAAGCAAGTCGAAGGTCCTGACTTGTTTGATGGGGATCACGGAATTGCTCTGCATGCACTGCAGGAGAATCGGGACTCATCTCGCCTCTAGACGGAAGTATCAAGGTTTTTCTCGAGTTGCGGCGGGGACCTGGGGTATGTACTCGAGTTACGGCGGCGATGGCCCTTCAAAACACGTGTTTATTCAGTGACGTCAGGACTCCTGTCCAGTAACGAGGGACAGCTCAGGAATCTCTTCTAGGCTTGCCGGGGCACAAGGGACTCTTCTGGAGATGAGGCAGGGCACCCAAGGAACCTTTCCAATAGCCACAGGGATTTTGGGATTCCTATCAATATTCAAGAGGAGTCAGGCATCGTCACCTTTTGAAGCAGTGAACTCCGCGTGCCTCTCGTGGTGTCAACGGGATGTGAGGCATTCCGTCACAATGAGGCAGGGACCTAGGGCTTTCTCTAAGGTCTTCACAGGGAATTCAGACATCCCTTCCTGTTGTGAGATGAAAGACGAACCTGTATACAAGACACTGCAAGGAAATCCGGCCTTCATTCAAGTTAGGGCTTCTCGCTGTATATTCCATTTTAGGCAGCAAACTCGGGGTCCGACGAACATACCTATTGCTGAGAGAAGCCTCCTCTTGTGGTGCTTCTGGAAAGTTGGCATACGTCTTGAGCCTAGACCAGGGAATCAGCTCTCATCTCGAGACGATTTGTGGTACACAGGGCATTCCTCGAGTTGCTGTGCTGAAGTTCGTATTCCTCTAGACTTGGGACAGTGTTCTCGGGGCATCTCTGGAGTTGCCTGAAGGGAGTCAATCCAGTGGTGGTGTTTAATGGTGTACAGGGGATGGCTCTGGAGTCAATGCACGGGAATCGGGCCTCATCTCGAGTTGATGTGGGGTACTTGCAGCTGCTTTGCATTGCTGGGGTGACCTCAGGGTCTGTCTAGACTTGTGACATTGTTCCTGGGGACTTTCTGGAGTTCAATTCAGCAAGTCGAAGCTCCTGACTTGTTTCATGGGGATCACGGAATTGCTCTGCATGCACTGCAGGAGAATCGGGCCTCATCTCGCCACTAGGGGAAAGTCTCATGGTTTTTCTCGACTTGTGGCGGGGACCTGGGGTATGTACTCGGGTTTCGGCGGGGATGGCCCTTAAAAACTCGTGTTTATTCAGTGACGTCAGGACTCCTGTCCCGTAACGAGGGACAGCTCAGGAATCTCTTCGAGGCTTGGCAGGCACAAGGGACGCTTCTCGAGGTGAGGCAGGGCACCCAAGGAACCTTTCAAATAGCCACAGGTATTTTGGGATATCTATCAATATTCAAGAGGAGTCAGGCATCGTGAGCTTTTGAAGCAGTGAACTCCGCGTGACTCTCGAGGTGTCAACGGGATGTGAGGCATTCCGTCAAAATGAGGCAGGGACCTAGGGCTTTCTCTAAGGTCTCCACAGGGGATTCAGACATTCCTTCCGGTTGTGAGATGAAAGACGAGCCTGTATTCAAGACACAGCAAGGAAATCCGGCCTCCTTTGAAGTTAGGGCTTCTCGATGTATATTCCACTTTAGGCAGCAAACTGGGGGTCCCTCCAACATACCTATTGCTGAGAGAAGGCTCCCCTTGAGGTGCTTCTGGAAAGTTGGCATACGTCTTGAGCCTAAGCCAGGGAATCAGCTCTCATCTCGAGACGATTTGGGGTACACGGAGCATTCCTCGAGTTGCTGTGCTGAAGATGGTGTTCCTCTAGTCTTGGGACAGTGTTCTCGGGCATTTCTGGAGTTGCCTGAAGGAAGTCAAGCCACTGGTGGTGTTTAATGGGTTACGGGGGATGGCTCTGGAGTCAATGCATGGGTATCGGGCCTCATCTCGAGTTGATGTGGGGTACTTGCAGCTGCTTTGCATTGCTGGGGTGACCTCAGGGTCTGTCTAGACTTGTGACAGTGTTCCTGGGGACTTTCTCGAGTTCAATTAAGCAAGTCGAAGCTCCTGACTTGCTTGATGGGGATCACGGGAATGCTCTGCATGGACTGCAGGGAATCAGGCCTCATCTCGCATCTAGGGGAAGTCTCATGGTTTTACTCGAGTTGCGGCGCGAACTGGGGTATGTTCTCGAGTTATGGCGGGGATGGCCCTTCAAAACACGTGTTTATTCAGTGACGTCAGGACTCCTGTCTAGTAACGAGAGACATCTCAGGAATCTCTTCGAGGCTTGGCAGGGCAAAAGGGATGCTTCTCGAGGTGACGCAGGGCACCCAAGAACCCTGTCCTGTAGCCACAGTGATTTTGGGATTCCTATCAATGATCAGGAGCGGTCAGGCATCGTCACATTTGAAGCAGTGAACTCCGTGTGCCTCTCGAGGTGTCAACGGGATGTGAGGCATTCCGTCAAAATGAGGCATGGACCTAGGGCTTTCTCTAAGGTCTCCACAGGGGATTCAGACATTCCTTCCGGTTGTGAGATGAAAGACGAGCCTGTATTCAAGACACAGCAAGGAAATCCGGCCTCCTTTGAAGTTAGGGCTTCTCGATGTATATTCCAATTTAGGCAGCAAACTGGGGGTCCCTCCAAAATACCTATTGCTGAGAGAAGGCTCCCCTTGAGGTGCTTCTGGAAAGTTGGCATACGCCTTGAGCCTAAGCCAGGGAATCAGCTCTCATCTCGAGACGATTTGGGGTACACGGAGCATTCCTCGAGTTGCTGTGCTGAAGATGGTGTTCCTCTAGACTTAGGACAGTGTTCTCGGGGCATCTCTGGAGTTGTCTGAAGGAGGTCAAGCCACTGGTGGTGTTTAATGCGGAACGGCAGATGGCTCTGGAGACAATGCAGGGGAATCGGACCTCATCTCAAGTTGATTTGGGGCACATGGAGCTGCTTTGCGTTGCTGGGGATACCTCAGGGTCCGTCTAGACATGTGACAGTGTTCTTGGGGAATGTCTCGAGATCCATTAAGCAAGTCGAAGCCCCTGACTTGTTTGATGGGGATCACGGAATTGCTCTGCATTCAGTTCAGGAGAATCGGGCCTCACCTCGCCTCTAGGCGGAAGTCTCATGGTTTTTCTCGAGTTGCGGCGGGGAACTGGGGTATGTACTCGAGTTACGGCGGCGATAGCCCTTCAAAACACGTGTTTATTCAGTGACGTCAGGACTCCTGTCCAGTAACGAGGGACAGCTCAGGAATCTCTTCGAGCTTGCCGGGGCACAAGGGACGCTTCTCGAGATGAGGCAGGGCACCCAAGGAACCGTTCCAATAGCCACAGTGATTTTGGGATTCCTATCAATATTCAAGAGGAGTCAGGCATCGTCACCTTTTGAAGCAGTGAACTCCGCGTGCCTCTCGAGGTGTCAAAGGGATGTGAGGCATTCCGTCAAAATGAGGCAGGGACCTAGGGCTTTCTCTAAGGTCTTCACAGGGGATTCAGACATCCCTTCCTGTTGTGAGATGAAAGACGAGCCTATATACAAGACACTGCAAGGAAATCCGGCCTCCTTTCAAGTTAGGGCTTCTCGCTGTATATTCCCCTTGAGGCAGAAAACTCGGGGTCCCTCCCACATACCTATTGCTGAGAGAAGCCTCCTCCTGTGGTGCTTCTGTAAAGTTGGCATACGTCTTGAGCCTAAGCCAGGGAATCAGCTCTCATCTCGAGACGATTTGGGTTACACGGAGCATTCCGCGAGTTGCTGTGCTGAAGTTGGTGTTCCTCTAGACTTGGGACAGTGTTCTCGGGGCATCTCTGGAGATGCCTGAAGGAAGTCGAGCCACCGGTCGTGTTGAATGGGGAACGGGGAATGGCTCTGGGGTCAATGCAGGGGAATCGGGCCTCATCTCGTGTTGATTTGGGGCACATGGAGCTGCTTTGCATTGCTGGGGTGACTTCAGGGTCCGTCTAGACTTGTGACAGTGTTCTTGGGGACTGTCTCGAAATCCATTAAGCAAGTCGAAGCTCCTGACTTGTTTGATGGGGATCACGGGAATACTCTGCATGCACTGCAGGGAATCAGGACTCATCTCGCATCTAGGGGGAAGTCTCACGGTTTCTCTCAATTTGCGTGGGGGACCTGGGGTATCTTCTCGAGTTACGGCGGGGATGGCCCCTCAAAACCCGTGTTTATTCAGTGCCGTCAGGACTCCTGTCTAGTAACGAGGGAAACCTCAAGAATCTCTTCGAGGCTTGGCAGGTCAAAAGGTATGCTTCTCGGGGTGAGGCAGGGCACCCAATGACCCTTTCCAGTAGCCACAGTGATTTTGGGATTCCTATCAATATTCAAGACGAGTGAGGCATCATCACCTTTTGAAGCAGTGAAATCCGCATGCCTCTCCAAGTGTCAACTGGATGTGAGGCATTCCGTCAAAATGAGGCAGGGACCTAGAGCTTTCTCTAAGGTCTCCACAGGGGATTCAGACATCCCTTCATGTTGTGAGATGAAAGACGAGCCTGTATCCAAGCCACTGCAAGGAAATCCGGCCTCCTTTCAAGTTAGGGCTTCTCGCTGTATATTCCACTTGAGGCAGCAAACTCGGGGTCCCTCCCAAATACCTATTGCTGAGAGAAGCCTCCTCTTGAGGTGCTTCTGGAAAGTTGGCATACGCCTTGAGCCTAAGCCATGGAATCAGCTCTCACCTCGAAACGATTTGGGGTACACGGAGCATTCCTCGAGTTGCTGTGCTGAAGTTCGTATTCCTCTAGACTTGGGACAGTGTTCTCAGGGCATCTCTCGAGTTGCCTGAAGGAAGTCAAGCCACTGGTGGTGTTTAATGGGGTACGGGGGATGGCTCTGGATTCAATGCATGGGAATCCGGCCTCAACGCGAGTTGATGTGGGGTACTTGGAGCTGCTTTGCATTGCTGGGGTGATGTCAGGGTCTGTCTAGACTTGTGACAGTGTTCCTGGGGACTCTTTCGAGATCCATTAAGCAATTCGAAGCTGCTGACTTGCTTGATTGGGATCACGGGAATGCTCTGCATGGACTGCAGGGAATCAGGCCTCATCTCGCATCTAGGGGAAGCCTCATGGTTTTTCTCGAGTTGCGGCGGGACCTGGGGTATGTTCTCGAGTTATGGCGGGCATGGCCCTTGAAAACACGTGTTTATTCAGTGACGGCATGACTCCTGTCTAGTAATGAGGGACACCTCAGGAATCTCTTCGAGCCTTGGCAGGGCAAAAGGGATGCTTCTCGAGGTGAGGCAGGGCACACAAGAATCCTTTCCTGTAGCCACAGTGATTTTGGGATTCCTATCAATGACAAGGAGGGGTCAGGCATCGTCACATTTGAAGCAGTGAACTCCGTGTGCCTCCCGAGGTGTCAACAGGATGTGAGGCAATCCGTCAAAATGAGGCAGGGACCTAGGGCTTTCGCTGAGGTCTCCACAGGGGATTCAGACAATCCTTCCGGTTGTGAGATGAAAGACGAGCCTGTATTCAAGACACTACAAGGAAACACGGCCTCCTTTCAAGTTAGGGCTTCTCGTTGCATATTCCACTTGAGGCAGCAAACTGGGGGTCCCTCCAACATAACTATTGCTGAGAGAAACCTCCCCTTGAGGTGCTTCTGGAAAGTTGGCATACGTCTTGAGCCTAAGCCAGGGAATCAGCTCTCATCTCGAGACGATTTGGGGTACACGGAGCATTCCTCGAGTTGCTGTGCTGAAGATGGTGTTCCTCTAGTCTTGGGACAGTGTTCTCAGGGCATCTCTGGAGTTGTCTGAAGGAAGTCAAGCCACTGGTGGTGTTTAATGTGCAACGGGGGATGGCTCTGGAGTCAATGCAGGGGAATCGGGCATTATCTCGAGTTGATGTGGGGCACATGGTGCTGCTTTGCGTTGATGGGGTGACCTCAGGATCCGTCTAGACATGTGATAGTATTCTTGGGGACTGTCTCGAGATCCATTAAGCAAGTCGAAGGTCCTGACTTGTTTGATGCGGATCACGGAATTGCTCTGCATGCACTGCAGGAGAATCGGGCCTCATCTCGCCACTAGGTGAAAGTCTCATGATTTTTCTCGACTTGCGGCGGGGACCTGGGGTATGTACTCGGGTTACGGCGGGGATGGCCCTTAAAAACTCGTGTTTATTCAGTGACGTCAGGACTCCTGTCCAGTAACGAGGGACAGCTCAGGAATCTCTTCGAGGCTTGGCAGGCACAAGGGACGCTTCTCGAGGTGAGGCAGGGCACACAAGGAAACTTTCAAATAGCCACAGGGATTTTGTGATTCCTATCAATATTCAAGAGGAGTCAGGCATCGTCAGCTTTTGAAGCAGTGAACTCCGCGTGACTCTCGAGGTGTCAACGGGATGTGAGGCATTCCGTCAAAATGAGGCAGGGAACTAGGGCTTTCTCAAAGGTCTTCACAGGGGATTCAGACATCCCTTCCTGTTGTGAGATGAAAGACGAGCCTGTATACAAGACACTGCCAGGAAATCCGGCCTCCATTCAAGTTAGGGCTTCTCACTGTATATTCCACTTTAGGCAGCAAACTCGGGGTCCCACGAACATACCTATTGCTGAGAGAAGCCTCCTCTTGAGGTGCTTCTGGAAAGTTGGCATACGTCTTGAGCCTAAGCCAGGGAATCAGCTCTCATCTCGAGACGATTTGTGGTACACGGGGCATTCCTCGAGTTGCTGTGCTGAAGTTGGTGTTCCTCTAGTCTTGGGACAGTGTTTTCGGGCATCTCTGGAGTTGTCTGAAGGAAGACAAGCCAGTGGTCTTGTTTAATGGGGAACTGGGGATGGCTCTGGAGTCAATGCAGGGGAATCGGGCCACATCTCGGGTTGATTCGGGGCACATGGAGCTGCTTTGCGTTGCTGGGGTGACCTCATTGTCCATCTAGACTTGTGACAGTGTTCTTGGGGACTGTCTCGAGATCCATTAAGCAAGTCGAAGCTCCTGACTTGTTTGATGGGGATCACGGGAATACTCTGCATGCACTGCAGGGAATCAGGACTCATCTCGCATCTAGGGGGAAGTCTCATGGTTTCTCTTAAGTTGCGTGGGGGACCTGGGGTATCTTCTCGATTTACGGCGGGGATGGCCCTTGAAAACACGTGTTTATTCAGTGCCGTCAGGACTCCTGTCTAGTAACGAGGGAAACCTCAGGAATCTCTTCGAGGCTTGGCAGGTCAAAAGGTATGCTTCTCGAGGTGAGGCAGGGCACCCAACGACCCTTTCCAGTAGCCACAGTGATTTTGGGATTCCTATCAATATTCATGACGAGTCAGGCATCATCACCTTTTGAAGCAGTGAACTCCGCGTGCCTCTCGAGGTGTCAACGTGATGTGAGGCATTCCGTCAAAATGAGGCAGGGACCTAGAGCTTTCTCTAAGGTCTAACAGGGGCTTCAGACATGCCTTCATGCTGTGAGATGAAAGACGAGCCTGTATTCAAGCCAGTGCAAGGAAATCCGGCCTCCTTTCAAGTTAGGGCTTCTCGCTGTATATTCCACTTGAGGCAGCAAACTTGGGGTCCCTCCCACATATCGATTGCTGAGAGAAGCCTCCTCTTGAGGTGCTTCAGGAAAGTTGGTATACGTCTTGAGCCTAAGCCAGGGAATCAGCTCTCACCTCGAAACGATTTGGGGTACACGGAGCATTCCTCGAGTTGCTGTGCTGAAGTTCGTATTCCTCTAGACTTGGGACAGTGTTCTCGGGGCATCTCTGGAGTTCCCGGAAGGAAGTCAAGCCAATGGTGGTGTTTAATGGGTACGGGGGATGGCTCTGGAGTCAATACATGGGAATCGGGCCTCATCTCGAGTTGATGTGGGGTACTTGGAGCTGCTTTGCGTTGCTGGGGTGATGTCAGGGTCTGTCTAGACTTGTGACAGTGTTCCTGGGGACTCTCTCGAGATCCATTAAGCAATTCGAAGCTGCTGATTTGCTTGATTGGGATCACGGGAATGCTCTGCATGGACTGCAGGGAATCAAGCCTCATATCGCATCTAGGGGAAACCTCATCGTTTTTCTCGAGTTGCGGCGGGACCTGGGGTATGTTCTCGAGTTATGGCGGGCATGGCCCTTGAAAACACGTGTTTATTCAGTGACGTCATGACTCCTGTCTAGTAATGAGGGACACCTCAGGAATCTCTTCGAGCCTTGGCAGGGAAAAAGGGATGCTTCTCGAGGTGAGGCAGGGCACACAAGAACCCTTTCCTGTAGCCACAGTGATTTTGGGATTCCTATCAATGTTCAGGAGGAGTCAGGCATCGTCCCACATTTGAAGCAGTGAACTCCGTGTGCCTCTCGAGGTGTCAACGGGATGTGAGGCAATCCGTCAAAATGAGGCAGGGACCTAGGGCTTTCGCTAAGGTCTCCACAGGGGATTCAGACATTCCTTCCGGTTGTGAGATGAAAGACGAGCCTGTATTCAAGACACTGCAAGGAAATCCGGCCTCCTTTCAAGTTAGGGCTTCTCGCTGTATATTCCACTTGAGGCAGCAAAGTGGAGGTCCCTCCAACATACCTATTGCTGAGAGAAGCCTCCCCTTGAGGTGCTTCTGGAAAGTTGGCATACGTCTTGAGCCTAAGCCAGGGAATCAGCTCTCATCTCGAAACGATTTGGGGTACACGGAGCATTCCTCGAGTTGCTGTGCTGAAGATGGTGTTCCTCTAGACTTGGGACAGTGTTCTCAGGGCATCTCTGGAGTTGTCTGAAGGAAGTCAAGCCACTGGTGGTGTTTAATGTGGAACGGGAGATGGCTCTGGAGTCAATACAGGGGAATCGGACCTCATCTCAAGTTGATTTGGGGCACATGGAGCTGCTTAGCGCTGCTGGGGATACCTGAGGGTCCGTCTAGACATGTGACAGTGTTCTTGGGGAATGCCTCGAGATCCATTAAGCAAGTCGAAGCTCCTGACTTGTTGGATGGGGATCACGGAATTGCTCTGCATGCACTGCAGGAGAATCGGGCCTCATCTCGCCTCTAGGGGAAAGTTTCATGGTTTTTCTCGAGTTGCGGCGGGGACCTGGGATATGTTCTCGAGTTACGGTGGCGATGGCCCTTCAAAACACGTGTTTATTCAGTGACGTCAGGACTCCTGTCCAGTAACGAGGGACAGCTCAGGAATCTCTTCGAGCTTGCCGGGGCACAAGGGACGCTTCTCGAGATGAGGCAGGGCACCCAAGGAACCGTTCCAATAGCCACAGTGATTTTGGGATTCGTATCAATATTCAAGAGGAGTCAGGCATCGTCACCTTTTGAAGCAGTGAACTCCGCGTGCCTCTCGTTGTGTCAACGGGATGTGAGGCATTCTGTCAAAATGAGGCAGGGAGCTATGGCTTTCTCTAAGGTCTTCACAGGGGATGCAGACATCCCTTCCTGTTGTGAGATGAAAGACGAGCCTGTATACAAGACACTGCAAGGAAATCCGGCCTCCTTTCAAGTTAGGGCTTCTCACTGTATATTCCACTTGAGGCAGCAAACTCGGGTTCCCTCCCACATACCGATTGCTGAGAGAAGCCTCCTCTTGAGGTGCTTCTGGAAAGTTGGCATACATCTTGAGCCTAAGCCAGGGAATCAGCTCTCATCTCGAGACGATTTGTGGTACACGGGGCATTCCTCGAGTTGCTGTGCTGAATTTGGTGTTCCTCTAGTCTTGGGACAGTGTTCTCGGGGCATCTCTGGAGTTGCCTGAAGGAAGACAAGCCAGTGGTCTTGTTTAATAGGGAACTGGGGATGGCTCTGGAGTCAATGCAGGGGAATCGGGCCACATCTCGGGTTGATTTGGGGCACATGGAGCTGCTTTGCGTTGCTGGGGTGACCTCAGGGTCTGTCTAGACTTGTGACAGTGTTCTTGGGGACTGTCTCGAGATCCATTAAGCAAGTCGAAGCTCCTGACTTGTTTGATGGGGATCACGGGAATACTCTGCATGCACTGCAGGGAATCAGGACTCATCTCGCATCTAAGGGGAAGTCTCATGTTTTCTCTCAAGTTGCGCAGGGGACCTGGGATATCTTCTCGAGTTATGGCGGGGATGGCCCTTGAAAACACTTGTTTATTCAGTGCCGTCAGGACTCCTGCCTAGTAACGACGGACACCTCAGGAATCTCTTCGAGGCTTGGCAGGGCAAAATGGATGCTTCTCGAGGTGAGGCAGGGCACACAGGAATCCTTTCCTGTAGCCACAGTGATTTTGGGATTCCTATCAATATTCAAGACGAGTTAGGCATCATCACCTTTTGAAGCAGTGACCTCCGCGTGCCTCTCGATGTGTAAACGGGATGTAGGCATTCCGTCAAAATGAGGCAGGGACCTAGAGCTTTCTCTAAGGTCTCCACAGGGGATTCAGACATCCCTTCATGCTGTGAGATGAAAGACGAGCCTGTATTCAAGCCACTGCAAGGAAATCCGGCCTCGTTTCAAGTTAGGGCTTCTCGCTGTATATTCCACTTGAGGCAGCAAACTCGGGGTCCCTCCCACATACCTATTGCTGAGAGAAGCCTCCTCTTGAGGTGCTTCTGGAAAGTTGGCATATGTCTTGAGCCTAAGTCATGGAATCAGCTCTCACCTCGAAATGATTTGGGGTACACGGAGCATTCCTCGAGTTGCTGTGCTGAAGTTCGTATTCCTCTAGACTTGGGACAGTGTTCTCGGGGCATCTCTGGAGTTGCCTGAAGGAAGTCAAGCCTCTGGTGGTGCTTAATGGGGTACGGGGGATGGCTCTGGAGTCAATGCCAGAGAATCGGGCCTCATCTCGAGTTGATGTGGGGCACTTGGAGCTGCTTTGCATTGCTGGGGTGACCTCAGGGTCTGTCTAGACTTGTGACAGTGTTCCTGGGGACTCTCTGGAGATCCATTAAGCAAGTCGAAGCTCCTGACTTGCTTGATGGGGATCACGGGACTGCTCTGCATGGACTGCAGGGAATCACACCTCATCTCGCATCTAGGGGAAGTCTCATCGTTTTGCTGGAGTTGCGGCCGGACCTGGGGTATGTTCTCGACTTATGGCGGGGATGGGCCTTCAAAACACGTGTTTATTCAGTGACGTCAGGACTCCTGTCTAGTAACGAGGGACACCTCAGGAATCTCTTCGAGGCTTGGCAAGGCAAAATGGATGCTTCTCGAGGTGAGGCAGGGCACGCAAGAATCCTTTCCTGTAGCCACAGTGATTTTGGGATTCCTATCAATATTCAAGACAAGTGAGGCATCATCACCTTTTGAAGCAGTGAACTCCGCGTGCCTCTCGAAGTGTCAACGGGATGTGAGGCATTCCGTCAAAATGAGGCAGGGACCTAGAGCTTTCTCTAATGTCTCCACAGGGGATTCAGACATCCCTTCATGCTGTGAGATGAAAGACGAGCCTGTATTCAAGCCACTGCAAGGAAATCGGGCCTCCTTTCAAATTAGGGTTTCTCGCTGTATATTCCACTTGGGGCAGCAAACTCGGGGTCCCTCCCAAATACCTATTGCTGAGAGAAGCCTCCTCTTGAGGTGCTTCTGGAAAGTTGGCATACATCTTGAGCCTAAGCCATGGAATCAGCTCTCACCTCGAAACGATTTGGGGTACACGGAGCATTCCTTGAGTTGCTGTGCTGAAGTTCGTATTCTCTAGACTTGGGACAGTG